GGCTCAGGCGCTAGGGCCGACAGTCTTCCGTTAGTCTTCTATTGTCTTACTCTTAGTCTTATGCTAGACGCAGTGTTATGCTAGTTGTTGGCCGGTATACTTGTTGTATAAAATTGTATTCGTTATTATAAATAAAGTTTTTTTTTTGGACTTTTATTATAACGGATTACATAACTGGCGCCCGAACAGGGACCGCGAAGGGCTAAAATTCATAAATCGTGACCATTTGTCCCGAATGAAGGTTGATACAGGTAATCAGTTTGAAGTAGCAATTGGCCATTGTCGCTAACTCGCAACCGAGGCTTCAATTCGGTTAAATCGAAAATAAATATACTTTTCAAATGTTGTTTTAGATTTTTGATATTTCATTAGTTTCATAAATTCTTTGTGGATATTTTGAACAAATTTTATGAAGATTGATACAGGGAATCAATTGGAAGTAATAACAGGCCAAAGTCGCTAACTCGCAACCGAGGCTTCAATTGAGATAAATTGGAAAATAAAATACTTTTCCCATGTTTTTTTAGACTTTTCATATTTCATTAGTTTCATAAATTCTTTGTGGATATTTTGAACAAATTTGATGAAGATTGATACAGGGAATCAATTGGAAGTAACAACAGGCCAAAGTCGCTAACTCCCAACCGAGGCTTCAATTGGGATAAATCGAAAATAAATATACTTTTCAAATGTTTTTTTATACTATTGATATTTCCTTAGTTTTATGAAATGTTTCTGGATATTTTAACCAATTTTTATGAAGTTTCATACAGGGAATCTGTTTGAAGTAGCAATAGGCCAATGTCGCTAACTCGCAACCGAGGCTTCAATTTGGATAAATCAAAAAAAAAATACACTTATCAAATTTTTTTTTTACTTTGATATTTCCTTAGATTCATAAATTGTTTCTGGATATTTGGACCAAATTTTATGAAGGTTGATACAGGGAATCAGTTTGAAGTAGCAATAGGCCAATGTCGCTAACTCGCAACCGAGACTTCAATTTGGATAAATCGAAAATCCATCCGAATAAATACAAACCGACCACAAGCCCCTACAATGGCCTCACAATATGAAAGAGCCGAACGCAAAATATTCGCTGGAAGTGTCTACTATGTGACTTTGAATATGAAATAAAGTATGTCCAAGGCAAAACTAATTACGTAGCGGATGCCTTATCCCGTAACCCACCAAATCACCTAGACTGCTATGCTATCAGCGAAAACGATGAAATAATTGACGAATTCTTATCCAGACCCTCACCAGAAAATAATAGTGATATGATAGAAGATTTAGCCAGAGAATTTCATATCCCCGAAGAAGATGACAATGCAAGTCTAGCGACACAACATTCACAAGAATCCTCAAATAGTCAAATTATAATCATTGAGGATAAGAGTAAAGGTGTCAATGTAGAGAAATACCAAATTACAATAACTCGTGGAAATCCTGATTCTAAAGTTCCCATTGAAAGACCTTTCAACAAGACTAGGTACAACTGGTACACTAGATACCCATATTCAAAAGACTTAGAAGAAAACTGCCTTGAATATCTACAACCTAATCGAACATACGGAATCCTCAGCTCACCTCAGATAGATAATTCTATTGACATACAAATTTATGATCAAATATTCAACCACTTGTCCAACATTATAAGAGAAACATTTCCTTCTGTTAAAATAAAACGATATTTTACAAAAAAACTTGATGTAATCGACCCTTCGGAGCAAGAAGAAATTACACTTAACTGGCACATAGGCAAAACCGCTCACCGACGCATTCATGAAACGTATAGAAGCCTGTCTAAGCGCTACTATTGGCCAAAAATGCTAGAGAGTATAACTGGAATTATTAATAATTGTTCTCTCTGTCAAGAAGTTAAGTACGATCGTAGACCAATACGGCAGGTCTACGAAATCACTCCAACTCCATCTAAACCCTTCGAAAAACTTCAAGGAGACATATTTCATTTTGATGGGAAACTAATTTTTACCCTTATAGACTGTTTTTCGAAAAAACTTTATGCCAACATAATTAAAGTATCGACAGCAAACGAAATAATAGGATCCCTTGAAGATTATCTCAGCCTATTCCCTTGCCCTAAAATAATACAGTTCGACAACGGTACGGAATTTAAAAACAGGCTAGTCGAAAACTTTTTGAAATACAATAATATAAACACCCATTTCACCACCCCGAACCATTCTGACTCCAACGGACTTATCAACAGGGCACATTCTACGCTCACTGAGATAATGAACGTCATAAAACGAGACAAAAATTATCCAACACCTAAAATCCTCCGACTTTCCTTAATAGCTTTTAACAATTCATTAATGTCAAATTTACAAATGACACCTAACGAAATAACTTTTGGGGTTCAGTCGAATAATAGCCCTTCAGACGATTTGATTCTAGAACAACGGGTAAAAGAATATCATGATGATAAGGAACTACTGTCTCGGGCCATCAAAAGAATTATTGAAAAAGAAAAAGAAGATCGAACAAATAAATTAAATAGAAATAGAGAAACTGTTGATATCCCAGAAGGCGAAATATATATACGCGATAAACAATTCGGGAAAGCCAAACCCAAATATAAAAGAGGAAATTACTCAAAATTAACAAAACTAGCTACAGTTAATAAAAAATCTTTTAAAATACACCCTAGTTTGATAAAAAGGCCTAGGAAAAATACAACTAATACTCTGCCTGTTTCAGATGAGAGAGGCATCACAAAAAACTTCCCTCCTGACCCCGGTGGTGAGCCTAGTCAGCATAGTAATTTTTACACTGGCGAGTCCAGTCAGCCCTATTCAAATTAATGACATGACCCAAGGACCTGGCATAACATCTTTTAAAATCACTAAGACGCTTGTTGTAGATAAATACTATACGTTCATTCATATTACCAATCTAGAATTATTAGATTCAGAATTACAAAATCTTCATAACATTATAAACGTCTCTTATAAACTAAACCAAACCAGTTCAGTGAAATCTTTACACAAATATTATCTCTATAGTCGTAATAAATTAGACCATATAATTACTAACCATCATAGAATTAGAGTCAAACGAGGTCTCATTAACGGTCTAGGTAAGGCCATATCCTGGCTAACAGGAAATATGGATTCTGACGATAAAGAAAAGTACGATAAAATCATAAATGGTATCGAAAGAAACGCATTTCATTTAGAACATAATGTCGAAAACCAATTGGCATTAAATAAAAAATTAATAGAAGAATTTAATCATGACATATTAATAATACAATCAAACAATAAAAAAATGAAACAATTTTTATCCAGCCCAGTTGTTAATCAGATCGAAATCAACCAACTCAATTCAATATTTCTTAACTTAGTACTCATAGCAAACAAAATCAGAGATGTGGAGACTTCTATCAAATATTGTAAAATAAATATATTGCATTCAAGTATCTTAACTCATAATGATCTGGAATCACTTCAAACAAATAGAAACGTAACTTTTTTGACCTCAGACCTTACAGCACTTTGGCAACTAAGTAAAGTACATTGTTCAATCAAAGACAATAATATATATTACTTCATTAATGTTCCTTTACATAGTTATTCTCCTGAAACATATTTCCTTCTGTCCTATCCTATAGAAAGAGATAATCTGGTCTCAACAATTTATGCGCACCCTCCTTTAATCCTTAGAGTGAACGATGAGTTATTTACAGTTACATGCGAGGAAATCAAGGACTACCTGTACTGCCATAATAAGACTCTTGTTAGTGACAAGTGTATTTTGCAAATTGTTAATAATGTTAATCTAATAGACTGTAAGGCAGTATACACTTCTAGTTTACCTTTTATAAAATATATACCTTTCGTAGATTATTATTTAACTTTTAAGGTTAACAAAATAGTGGTAAATAAACATAACTGTAATGATACTGTATTTTTAGCCAACACTAGCTTAATTAATTTAGATGAGAATGAAACCATTTTGGATAATAAAGTAATTCCTATGTATAAAAACTCCAAAGTCATGAGTCTTAGCGCACAAGTATTTGCTCACTCAGACCTAAACATATCTTTTGAAGATCTGCACAAATTCAATATAGCAATGAAACCGCTGGAGTACCTAGAGGACGTCCCTTCCACTTCTCTTGAGAAATACTACTACTTCGTGAGTGGCGCTCTCCTTTTGGTTCTATTCCTGCTTATGTACCTCCGTTGTCTTCGCAAGAGAACTCTTCATCGACCTGGAGCAGAGACCCAGACAACTCAAGAGGACCAAACAAGTGTCTACCCCGGACTCTCTTGTCTGATCTCGCAGGAGCTTCGAACATAAGGATGGAGGAGTTATGGTACCGTCTTCCAGAATCCACAGCATCTGAGTCAGCAAACTTCACTTCCATATAAATAGGGCTCAGGCGCTAGGGCCGACAGTCTTCCGTTAGTCTTCTATTAAGTCTTACTCTTAGTCTTATGCTAGACGCAGTGTTATGCTAGTTGTTGGCCGGTATACTTGTTGTATAAAATTGTATTCGTTATTATAAATAAAGTTTTTTTTTGGACTTTTATTATAACGGATTACATAACTTGGATGTCAAAAGTAAATGTCGAAAAAGTATGTAATTTTACCAGTTTTTCGAGTTTCAACTCGATTTGGGGAATGGGGAAAACATTCAACTAGTTCTACTTGATCTCGTTTACCAATCGGATCCAAAATTGATCAAAATATGTATAAATCCTTTCTTTGCCTAACGAAATATTAAAAGTCCCAAAAATCTGGAAAAAGTATGTATTCTTATCGGATTTTTAAGTTTCATCTACTGGTAGGCGGCGTTAGCGTTTCTGGAGCGATAGGTGTTAGGGTTTCTGGCGTGGTAGGAGGCAGTAGAAATAAATATTTAACTAGAGATTTTACTAAATATTTAACACAAAATAAATATGCAATAAAAACTTTTATTATTTTTACTGTTTTTGTTAGTTAGAAAATGTTAAATAAATACAAAATAATATAGTACATATATAGTCCTTTAATTTTCAATTGTGTTATATTGTTAGCTTAGAAAGAAACAATGTGTTGGTTGAAAGATTTGACCAGTCCGGTACAGTTTTTAACTTGTGGTAATTAGCTTTGGTAAATCCTCGCAGTGAAATCATGTCAGTTGCTCCAAACAAGGCACCTTCAAAGAAAATGAATTTGACATTTGAATATACTTATAAATACATAAACACACCTCCGAGCCAGCAGGCATAATTCTCTTGGGCGAGACCTGTGTGAATTTTAAACTTGATGAGGGCCAACCGTGTGTTGTACAATGGCGACTTAAGTAATTCTTTTAGTTCTCGGAGAAGTCTCGATTTGAAACCAGGTGCCATCACAGTACCACCGACAAGAAAGATATTTTCAGCCAGCGGTTTTCGACAATCCAGGCTGCACTACAATACAAACAATAAATAAGCAATGATCGTAACTGTGTACAAAGTACAAATGTAAAATGTAATACTTTGAGTATAGCATCTAGTATAAGGTTAGGTAATGACGATTGGTCGTTGTCTTTTTCGAAAATGACTTCAAAAGCAGATTCTCGCACCCAACCAGGTACTTTTAAAACTTGATTGCCTCCAAGACGGTAATCAAGGCATGGAGGCTGTTTTGGGGTGACTCCATCCCTAAACATCTCACCCCTTTCATAAGTCGTGGCAAAACATCCTCGAACTGCATAGAAAACAAATAACACAATGTTCTTCTGTTTTGTAGATTTTGTAAAAACAAATTTTTACCTTTGATATCTTCAATTACACTTTCTGGCAGATTGTAAATGTCTTCATTTGACTTGCTTGCATCACCTGATGCATTTTTAATTTCTTTATGAGCCTCAAGCAAATTATGTCTAAGCCTCCTAACAATGATAAAAATTTCTTAAAGAGTGAGTTAACAATATATTTAAAAAATTATTATGCCTCAAAAATTATAAAGCAGTTTTGATCCTCAATCAATAGACCAAAAATAGATAGATAATGTTAAAACTGTTTAATAAGAAATAGAAAAACATAAAATGGATTAACAATATGAAGCCAATAAAAAAATATATTGGACAAATGCTTTTTAGAATTAAACATATTTAGGGCATGAATTGAAATCCAATTATAGCACGATTTTAAGGCAAAAATGTTTTGATGTTTAATGTTTTATTTTTTATGTATATAAAATATATAAAACATGATTGATGGTGGGTGCATGGTCTGTGGGGTGATGAACCTGTAGATTGGTTTTACCAATGATTTTGGACAAATCCTCATTGGTAAACATGACGGTAACATCCCAACTACATGATTTTTTCACCAAAACATTTAAGCACTATTGCAGGCGTAACAACAAATATAATTTTTATATTAAAATACATTATGAATATTTTTTTAAATTTAAATTGGTCATTTCTGATCAGTCTGGTCTATTTCTTGCTGTGTTGGTCTATGAGATGCACTTTGGCATTTCATCATCTTCAATGTAGGGTTTGTGTAATTTTTTTGTTCAGTTCTGATTTATTTCATTATAAAACGAAATGCTTGAGGACTAACATAGCGAAGCTAATTCAGTTGTTACTGCCAAGCTTTCGACCTATTTTTAAGTCATCACCACGGCAAAACAATATTAAATATGACTGTAAATTGACACATTTAAGGTTTTTACAGGTGATCTCAAATTTCCTTGAAGACTAACTTAGTCCCAACATTGCCAAGGACTATAACAATGTTACTGTAAGGAGTGAGTAGGTCTTCAAGGAAATTTGAGATCACCTGTAAAAACCTTAAATATTGTTTTGCCCAATGATGGCATTAAAATAGGTTGAAAGCTTGACAGGAACAACTGAATTCACTTTCTTCTTTAAGACCATACCTTGATCTAGAGTGTTCGTGAGTGAAAAAGTTGTCAATATTTCTAATAAAGAAAATAGTTAGGCTAGGCACTATAATGTTCGGAAATGACCAAACTACAGATTCATAACGCCACAGACATCTAGAGTAATCATAAAACTATTTTAAATACTAATATTTTATATGTATTTTCAAACCTACTTTTCTACAGATTGTGCCCCTAACGGCTGTGCTTCCCAAGCTGACAGTACCAAGACGCCTTCATAGACAGGAATCACTTGCGCTTCCTTGTATCCTACATCTACAACAAGTGCAGTTCTTACCCCTAAGCTGCATAAAACTACTAAATGAGAAGGAACAAATAGAACAGATGCGACCTGCATAGACAAAAAAAAGATTGGTGGAAAAGGTTATATATTTTGTATGGCGATTTCAACACACCTCATAGTGACAGAAAAGAACTTTTGCTAACGTGTCTCTGAATATGGTTGGTGTTAAAAGAGATTCTACAATAACAACATGACGATCTTTTGGAGTTCCAAGAAGATTTCTGAAAAAAATTAAAATAAAGCTGAAAATTAATTTATTTACTAAATATTCAAAACTGTGGCTATTTGCCCTGTGCTATTTTATCCCAGAGATAGTGGGTTAATAATTAGTTTATTATTGCACTATGGCCAAGAGAAAACATTTTATTAATTTTAAAAAATGTGTTAATTGAAATTTAAACATTAGACAATTTTAGAATAAATTTATTTGTGCACAGCCATTACTGACTTATACATACATATTAAAATGTGTTAATTTAATTTTGAAGATGTCTTAGAGACCATATCTAAGAAATGTTATCCAAGGATTTCATTACCAGTCATTGTTCTAAAATGACAGTATTGTGGTAAAAATTTATTTTAAATAGTTTTTGTTGCATCATAGTCATAACAACATAAACAAAACTAATGAAATCTGACAGAGCAAACAAAAAGTTATATTTGGTAGATGATGTACAAGTTAGTGACCTCTCACATACAGAATTTCCCAGCCTGGTACATTATCTTGTCAGAGAAGAATCTGAATCAAGTTTTAAAAAATACTGGGTAATGTAAAGACTTTTGTAGTTATTTATAATTCCAAATAACGTTTGTGATTAGCCAATGTTGGAACAATTCAAGAAAATTTAAGGCTGCCACAAAGAACTTGTTTCACCTCTGCATAAGAGGGGCATTTGCTCTGTTTGAACTAGGATATAAACATTGCAAGGTTCTTCCTTTTGGGCCAAAGCCTGTTATGGGTCCAGCATGCAGAGAATGGGTGTATGATTTGTCCTAACTAATTGAAGGATGCAATTCCTTGGCTCCATACAGAAAGCATGAAGAAATGTCACCCCCGAGCCTCTGGTGCTCGAGTTAAACATAAACTGTTTTTGCTATGAGTGTCTAAGTATCTAAGGTCCAGTTCACCCAGAGGTAATTGGTATGAGAGATTGTTATCAATGAGACTGATGTAACTTAGGGACAAATACAGACATTCAGACAGGGAGACTGGCAGACGACCGGTATGAGATACTGATTTCACTTGGGATGTTTGGTTATTTGATAATTTTTTTGTATGAAGGCATTGGGACATTGCGCAGCATGTCATTCACACGGTTCATACTGTATCAAACAGACCACTTCATCCGACTCTTGTTTTCATACGTCTTTTTTTAACTTTTAAAAAAGAAGTGACATTTTTGATATCAACAAAAAAATTTATTAGTTCAAACATATCCCATGCTTTGGCACAACAGTTATCACAATTATGTGGATAAAGTTAAAAAAGAAAATGCGTGGCGAAATATGAGTGAACCCACATTACTCTACTTTTACTTGTTTTTCATCTAATTAAATGCCAAAGAGCTACAGCTTCTAACTCGGCCATTATAAAAATATGACACAATCAAATATCTAGGCCTTTAAACCACTTAGGAGAGGATCGAGAAGAAATAGAGGGGAGTGACTAAATCTAGTCACCAGGAGAGTACCCTCGATACTTTTTGTTTTGTATCTCACACCATTATCGCATGTGCACCTCTCATACCTTTCACCTGTGTGTGAACCAGGCCTAAGATATTCACATGAAATATTTTAATCAATTAATTGACTTTTCTTTCAAAAAAGAGAAAAAAAATTGGATAAATTCCAATTTTTAGCAGAGAATACGTGAAAGTGAGGCTATAGAGCCTCTGGTGCTCGAGTTAAACATGGACTGTTTTTACCCTAATTGACTGCCTTATTATCTAAGATATTCACATGAATAATGGTTGTAGGTTGAGAAGGGGAGTTGGTGTCCGAGTGGATCGAAGTCACGATAGCTCAAGTGGTTGGAGCAGCAGCGTATTGAGCCGAAGGTCGTGGGTTCGAATCCTGCTCGTGACACTAGCTTTTTCATTTCAACCAAAACCTTACATAAAAAGATTAATTAAGTGAAAGAAGTAATTTGGTCAATAGGCCACTAAATATAATGAAATGTTTGGATAAATTCCAATTTTTAACCGAGAGTATATGAAAGTGAGCATCTGGTACTCAAGTTAAAACAAAAACCGTTTTTACTCTAATTGACTGCCTTATTATTGAAGATATTCACATGATAAATTTGAATCAATTAATTGACTTTTCATTCTAATAGGAGAAAAACTTTTTGGATACATTCCAATTTTCAGCAGAGTACATGAAAGTGAGGCGATAGAGCCTCTGGTGCTTGAGTTAAACATAAACCATTTTTACTCTAATTGATTGCCTTATTATTTAAGATATTAGCATGATATATTTCAATCAATTAATTGACTTGTCTTTCTAAAGGAGAAAAACTTTGTGGATAAATTTCAATTTTTAGCAGAGAGTATGTGAAAGTGAGGCGACAGAGCTTCTGGTGCTCAAGTTAAACATAAACCATTTTTACTCTAATTGACTGCCTTATTATTTTAAGATATTCGCATGATATATTTTAATCACTTAATTGACTTGTCTTTCTAAAGGTGAAAAACTTTTTGGATAAATTCCAAATTTTAGTAGAGAATACGTGAAAGTGAGGTGATAGAGCCTCTGGTACTCGAGTTAAACATAAAAACTCATGTGACATAATGTAATCATTTAATTGAATTTTTTTTTTTTTTTTGCAAACAGAAAAACTTTGCTGAACGCCAATGTTTGATTGAGTTTGTGTTGTCAATGAATCTTCCCAAGAACCACTTTGGTTTTTACCAGGAAATTCACTTCTTATCAGCCAACACAAATTAATATCGCGTTTTTTTTCTCTCTGTTTAAGTTCAATTTGTGCTATGTGGAAGGCAGCAATTAGCACTATTCGCCCAATAGGACGATTGTGTCCTTGGCTTCAAGTGGAGTGTGACGACCGACTGCTATGCACGGGCACGAATACCAGGTGAGACCAATACCTGAAATAAATTTTGTGTATAAAAGCCACCAAAAGAGCGTAGAGGTCGGCTTCGTCCTTGTAATCGTCCACCTTCCGGACTAGACCTGTCGTCGGACACTTCACCTCCGTCGGGATGATACTTCGAGGGGTGAACTCGCCGACAAAACCGCACCTGGCAATATGAAAGACACAATGAATTATTTTTATTTTATAAAAAAATAATAGTTAAACGGACTTTGTGTATCGTGCTCCGATGTCTAAAACGACGGCCGGTTTATCGGATGAGTAACCTTCGTACATGGCCATCTGAGGAGAATAGAGTCTGGAGAACACTGGAATCTGGATGAGTGAAGTATGAATCTACTGTCTAGTCTCTAACTTTAAATCCACGACAATCAAGAGGAAGGTTAGATATGATACGAAGAACCACCGCGCGGAATTCGACCAAAGTCAACATTTCACCATCCACAATTTTCTTTTCGATTCAACTGTACTAAACAAACAAAAATATTTTTTTCTGCAGCAATACAATCAAGTATAATTAATTTTTTTATCGAACTTTATAAAGAAATCAAACACTCGAACTCCCTCCCCTTCTTCTTTGTGAGAACGGTTATGGTGAGTCATTCTTCACCTCTGATATTTAGGTCAGGTTGTCAGGTACGTGCAAAGGTAAACAAACCTCATTTCGTTAAGTTTAGCATATTGGCTCAAACTCGATTCTTCAAGAGCAAAACTGAAGTTCAGCTTTTTCCAGTTGAAAAAGCCTAAGGGGCTTTTTTCTAAAATGAACGTAGTAAGCCCTTCCGAGACGTCGACGAAGGACGTTGGTCCACCCACATCAATGGTAATTGTTCACTATTTAAACAATAATACTTGTGACAGATTGTAGCTGTAGACATCCAAAATTTATTTTAATTCAGAAAAATACCCTGAAAGTTTGTTCTTATCTGTAAAAATGGTGATAATATGCAGACCCAGTGTAGGTGAGTTTTATTTCGTTGTGTTTGTTTTTCTTTATTGTGTTTGTCTAGTACGCTGCTGACAATGCCATTACACTACACACATTACAGACCAAACTGTCAGACTAAATTATATGGGCTATAGTTTAGTCAGGTTTGGCTGCAGCTGCACACACTAGGTCAACTAGCAGTGCGTACACTAAACAATGCAATCTACTGATTTGCATGTTGCAAGTCAAAGCTGCAATGGAGAGCCTTTGTCCAGTCGTTCAACAAAATATTTATTTATTATTACAAATGTCCTTTGCCGCTAAAGAGGATGCATAGCCTTGTCTCGTAAATTTGGACAGTATAAGAAGAGGGAAATGGACTCTGTAAAACTATGTGATACTTTGGATAATAAAATCATGCAAATAAAAGCTTTAAAAAAAATAATTTATCTCAATTCCAATTGGTTCAAACATTTTAAAGTTATTATAAAAGTCTGGTTGAATCGTAATAATAAATGAATAGTAAGGAATATTAATAAATAATAGTTTTGTTCATTTTTTTAATTAACCCATTTATAGTTATTCAGATATCGTGAGATGCAGTCCCGACCGCATCTCGCGATATCTGAATAACTATCGATTAACGGTCACTAATCTCTATACATAACCCATTTATGTTTTGTGGTATAATTGTTCACATTAATTATTTCAATTAATTATCCTTTTATGTAAGATCTCAACCTACAATCATTTATATTTTACATCTTTTTCAAAAGGTTGTAGGTTCAGATGAGGCGTTGGTGGATCGAAGTCACAGTGGCTCAAGTGGTTAGGGCAGTGGCGTATTGAGCCGAAGTTCAAGGGTTCAAATCCCGCTTGTGACACTAACTTTTTCATCTCAACCAAGACCTTACATAAAAGAATTATTAATTGAATTTTTTAATTAAATTTAATTTTAAATATATTTATCACATTATTATTATTATTAACAAGCCAATTGCACATCAATAAACGATTGTGTGTGTATGTGGGTGTGTGATGTAATTGTTTGTGACAGATTTGATTAGTGTATATGTGTGTGAATGTGTGTATGTTGTTTGGTGATTGTATTTGTGGTGTGTTTTCTTTAAATACATTTTTTTTACATTTCATCCATTTTTATAACATAATATTCAATAATAACATTTTTCAGCAGGAGGTACCGGCAGAAATAGCTTAAGTCAGTAATGAGTATTTTTTATTTGTTTACTGTTAAATATTTTTGGATTAATCATACATTAATATGTATTATTTTTATTACAGTTGTTAATTTTACTTCCCCTGGTTTAAGCTATACTCGTTTCCCAGGTTTCAGTTCTGTACTGCTGGTAATGGTATCACTGTTCCAATACTAGAGACATGGGTACTAGGCACTCCCCCCTCCCCCAAGAAAAAAACTTTCTTGTTTGCAACTTTAGTGTATTTCAATTCAATAGCTGTTCCATCAGTCCTTAACTTTTTTGTAATGAAGGAGTGGATATTGCATTCTTCTTAGTGATACAGCTATAATAGATATTTATAGATATTATAATCTTATGACCAAAAGTGAATATTGTTCCAACTAGTCCTTATATTTAAAAGCAAAATTTTCACTTGATTATTATTAACAATAGTTTGTGGGGCTGTATGACTTAAAAAACTGAAGCCCTGATAGAGCAGCATAGATTTTTAAAGTTGGGCCAAATGGTTCTGAACTTTATTATTTGAACAGTTAAACAGTTTTATCAGAATCAAATTTATGGACTACAGAAGGCAGATTTTTAATCTAACAATTATTAATCAATTCAACCTAAAAAGCTCATTTTTCTTTCTTTTGTTACTTGTATTCATTTAATTATTTAATAAACAATATATCGATTACATTATTTCAAATCACCTCTGTCCTAACTAACAAACCTTCTGGTAATTGAATAAAATACCTAAAAAATCCTGGGGTAGTCGTGATTATTTTGTAGGTGGTATGTTTCAAATTTTGAGTAGTGTATTATCCTTAGAACATGTTTGTATTTTGTTTATTTTTATAATTACTTAATTTATTAATTTTTCAGCCTCTAAATAATACCCCACTTGAACAAGGAGCAGAGTTTCAACCGGGGAGAAAACAGCCAAAGCGTGTGTTGCACTTCAGCGACGGTACCCTTGAGGAGTTTAGCACTGATGAGGAAGACGATGTTGAGCCCTGCAGTCAGAAGAAGTCAGGGAGCCAAGTCTCATCAGTCAATCCTGTTAGTAAATTACTTAAACAATTGATTGCTATTGTTTACTCTCCCTCGTACTAGGATGGGTTGTCTGATTAATATTTTCCAATCAGTTCCATACAAATATTTTAAATAATAACTAAATTATTGTTGATGTAAGGCGTTTTAATTAATTCTTCAATTCTAAAATGTAAATAAATATTGCTTTTTGTCTGTAAATAAGATATCCTACATGAAAGTTATACCAAAACCTCTTGTGTTCAATATATATAATGCATTCAGAGTTTTCATAAAAAAGTAGATCTTGTCAAAGTAACTTTGCACTTTTATTTCAGGCCACATTGACATGGATGCCATGGTTTATCTACCAGACAGTCTTCGTTGGCAATAAAACCCTTGCGATGTGTGACTTTGTCGGCGAGTACCTGGCAAGCTTTTTTGGAATCACATCGCCAAAGTATGAATACGAAATCGAGCATTTTAAAAGAATGCAAGCTGAGGTGAGTGTATAAATCAATATTTTTTACTTTATTTTCGACTAGCTTTATAACCTGATGTTACCCAAGGAGATAAAATGAAATGAATTTATGAAAAATGTTCTCTTTTTTATCAATTCTGAAGCTCATTATTTGTGATATTCCCATTTTATAGTCTATCGACTCACCCAGCACTAATAAAAACAAACTGTAAAAGTTTCATCAAAATCAATTCAGTAATTTGCATTTTTACGATTAACACACGTACAAACATTCACTTTTATATATACATAAATAATCTTTCTCTCTCTCTCTTATAGGAAAATGAGAAAAAGAAGGACGATTTAGAATTAGGAGGATGGATTCAACAGGACACCAATGTTATTTCTTCTGAACAATTTCGCTCAGCTGAAAGGTACTGACAACCTGACAAAACAAATAAACATTTTGTTGCCATACAATCAAAGATCAAACTTAGCACTATTTATTCGGCCTGTACTGAGATAAAACTGATTAATTTATACTAATATTAACAAAAAATGATAAAACTTTTTTTTTTTAATGATTGTCTGTATTATGTCTTTTTAGACCACTTTAGAAGGTAGATTGTTTGATGTCAAATGATAAAACAACCTTCTAAAAAAGGCCTTAAAAATGACAATAAGAATTATTCATAATGAAATAAAGAATGAAAATAAAAACAAAGTAAAAAAGACAGTGAGCAGATAGTACACAAAACTGTGATACAAAACAAGACCAACTCAAATACTTTTTTATTTATTTATCTTTTATTTTCATAGCAGTTAGTGCAGGAGTTGTTTGATCTGATCATGCTGAAATGTCAGGCAGTGAGCATTCATTAAGGCTTTCTTTCTTTTCATTTGACCAAGAAAAAGGAGCTTCTTATATTATTTTTACCTGTAATGTAAACTTTTTCTTTTAAATCCTATTTAATTCTACTTACCTCAATTTGTAATTATAATTTACCAATTATTCACTTTAATTTATTCTACCTGTATTTCTTAAGTATATTACCATTTTGCGTTTATTTTGTCATCATAAAGTGCATATTGGATAATTTTATTTATTTGCCGCACGTTTCTTAAACACTTTTGTGCAATTTTGTATAGCAATAAATATAACTATTTTAACGTGTTATTTATTTGCCTTTTTTTTTAGATCACCCTCAGAGTGTCCTGTTTCTAGATGGTCGCATGACATTAAAAAGTCGTGCAAAGTGTAAGTTAAGAAAAAATGTATTAGGTTGTATAAACAGTTCATCTACACTTTATACATTGTTAAACTTAATTAGGCTTGTAAAAATTGTAAATCCCTTTTTTTACATGTACTTTATTTTTTATTTTTTTTATTATTATTTTTTTTTTTTATTAATGCCAGCATCTCTTTTGAACTTTATTTTCTGTATTTCTTATAGGCTGTGTATGCTTTTGCTGAATTTATCATTTATTAAAACAAACATTTTAATAAAATAATAATTCATTTATGTTTTAGTGGTCAATTGACCAAGTTACATCTTTCAATTTTTCTTTCCATGTAAGGTCTTGGTTGAGATAAAAAAGTCAGTGTCACGAGCGGGATTCGAACCTACAACCTTCAGCTAAATACGCCGCTACTCTACCACTTGAGCTATTGTGACGTCAATCCTCACAGACACTAGCTCTCCATCTCAACCTACAACTGTTCGAACCTTCCCTCTTTTTGCCATTTTCAAATGTCGTGTAATCAGATTGGATTCTCAGTAACCTATGAAGTGGCCATGGGGAGCTGTTTAGTGAAGTGATACTTCTTTTTACTTATAAAATTCATTCAATTACGTTTTAGTGGTCAATTGACAAAGTTACATCTTTCAATTAATTATTCTTAACGTGTAAGTTCTTGGTTGAGATAAGAATGGAGAGTTAGTGTCCAAGAGGATCGAAGTCACGATGGCTCAAGTGGTCGAGCAGCGGCGTATCTAGCCGAAGATCTTGGGTTCGAATCCCACTCGTGACACTGACTTTTTTATCTCAACTAACAACCGTAATTAATTGTTAAAACACAATGTATAAGATTTGAATATGTTTTTCCCAAATTTAAACAATTGTTTTAAAGGTACACCATTTTTAAAAATGGTTAAATAAGGTCTAAATACAAGTGAAAAAACAATTTTACTATTAAACCCATTTAACATGATTTTGTTTAATCTACCTCTGAAAGTTTAAGCAATAAACTTTTAAAACTAAATGTTTGTGTAAATACTTTTTTAATGCAATTTTTGTATTGTTTTAAGGGTAAAAATACATTCTAAAAACAATTTAATAATAAAGTGTATGATGTATGTGATTAAAAAAATGCTTTAAAAAATAGAGCAAGATTTGGAAGTAAATAAAACATTGTTCTCTGGGCTAATGATGGAAAAGGATTTTTCATTGTAACATTTTTTTAAATTGTGGGATAAGGGATTCACATGATAGACATGTAGCTTAATTGTCTCCAATTTTCGAAGTTTTTTCTTCCATTATTTTGTTGACCAACGAGGGAAGATTAATATGGTGAACAGGCGCCTCTCTGGTTGTATTAAAAAATGTAATTTCCTGGTTTTTATACATAATTGGATAATTAATAATCAATTTATTGTAGAATGTTTTAATTTTGTAATTGTTATTTAAACTTTACTCATTTCTAAGATATACACATTTTGAAAATTTTCTCTCAGGGATTCTTCAGCCTAAATTGTGTCAATTTACAAATAGCAAAGATACATCTGCTGTACTCATAGATAATTTATATTGTACTTGCTTCTATGTTAATGTGGGGGTTGTGAAAAGGGGTAACTTATTAATTATGAATAAAATAAAAACAAATTCTTAAGTGTTTTATTTATTTATTTTTTTGTACCCCATCCAAAACCAAAATTAAAAAATATCAGAAAACTATTAAAACTTGCATAATTTCTCCAATTCTCTTTTTTTCTCACATCAGACTTTTATTAATAATTACTTACTAAAGAAACTGGAAATTTGTATTTAACAATTAAGGTACAAGAACTGCAAAAAAAAAATTGTTTTAAAAACGCGGTAACATAACACTTTAAATTAACAATTATTTATATATTTCAAATAGAGTTCTATCTTATGTAAATAATAATATTTCAATGTTTGTAATATTTTAAAAAACTAGTGCCATATAAAATGCTACACTATGACATGACACAAAAAAAAAATGTTTACATTAACTTTTGTAAGAATAGAACTGGGAATTATGAACTGTCAGGTGAAATCACGTTTTTCATTGTACCACTGTACATTACATACATTCTACATTCGTGCAAACCATTACAGTCGAACAGATAAAATGACAATATCACAATTCTAATTATTTATCTCACATTTCAATTAAACTAATATGAACTCTGGACAACATAAAAGTAAAATACATTTAATACTCATTTTAATCATCTATACAGATATAACATCCTGCGGTTTATTTATTTATTATTTTTTATTATATTTTTAGCATTTAAATCAGTGCACAACACATGGCAAAACAGAAAATTAAAACAAATTTTATACAAAATTTACTTTACAATAGTGTCTTTGATTCATCCAAAACTCTGGGCTCCTGTGTCGCCTTCTTCGATTCCAAGCAGGGCGAGGTCTGACATTTCTTGGGGTACAAACTGTTTCTTTTCATCTTTTTTATTATCATTACCTTCTTTCTCTTTACCATCTTCTTGATCTTTGGTGTTATCTTCTTCTTCGCCATCTTCATTATCGTTATCATCATCGTAGTCTTCGTCTTTGTCCTGACTTTCATCCTCACCTTGTTCACCACCCTCTTGAGCTCTTTTCATTGCGAGCTTTTTCAGATGGCGTCTCATCCTCTGAGATGGTGGGTTTTTCTTCTTCTGTATCTCTTGTGCTGACGGTGGTAACTTGGTTACATCGATTTCCAAAGGTTCATCCTGTTTTGAAGGAGGTGGAACTCCTTCAAGTGTTGGTATAGACCCTACTTCTGCAGATGTCGCCTGCTGCAAATAAGCAGGATCGATGACATAACTCTGAGTGTTTGGATCATATCCCATTTGAGCCATGTAAGCGGCAGCTTGTTGCTGCATGTAATAAGCCATTTGTTGGTATTGCTGTTGTTGACCTTGTTCTGTGTACATAGAAATATCATAGCCCATATTGCCCGCCATTACAGCTACATCGTATGGTACTGTGCCTGGAGGTGGTTCGGGTTCTTTAACTTCAACCTTAGGAGGTTTGATTTCTCTCTGTTTCCCATTTTCAGGGAAAAGTAGATCCAAAGCATCTTTGAAATCTTTGTGGAGTTCGTCTTTCGGAGGATGCTCCTCTTCGATTTCCATATCCTGTTCTAATAAGTTGTCATCGCCAGTTTTTGGTTTGAAAAGGATCTCCTTACCTACTATTTCAGGCTGAGATGACGGCACTACTACCTGGGTGGGTTGAATAACAAGCTGGGGCTGTTTTACTATGAGTGAAGTAGGGGGCAACGCTGGTCCATACATTTCTTCGTAATATTCACCAGAATCTAAGGCCTGCAAAGCATAGGCTTGACCAGCTAACTGGTACATCATCTGATATGCCTGTTGTTGCTGCAGCTGTTGTTGATCTTGCAGTTTTTGAACACGTGCCATTATTTGCTCTTGTTGTTTCTTTTTCTTTATTTCTTCAGCTGTTGGAGATCTTTCTTTCTTTTCCTCTGGCTCTTCAGGTTTTGGCTCAGGCTTTTTCTTAAGGATGGGCATCCTTCCAATAAAAGGTAATTTAGTCTTAGGAATAGTGAAAGAAGTCTTCTTGCCGTCTTTTTTCTTAGCAGCACTTTCAGCTGTCCGTTTTTCAAAAGTTGTCTCTGAATTATCTTCATCCTCTTTCCTTTTCCTTTTCTCAGGGGTTCTTCTTGGTGGTGGCCTTTTAACATCTTTTTCCCTTTCCCTCTCACTTCGTTTTTCTTTCGACTTCCGTTCCCGAGATTCACGATCACGGTCACGTTCTCTATCACGTTCACGATCACGATCTCTTTCTCGATCTCTATCACGTTCCCTATCTCTATCTCTGGATTTTTCATATTTATCCTTGTCTCTTTTATAATCTTTCTCTTTATAACCTTTGCTTTCATAACGATCCCTTTTGGATTCTTTTTTTCTTTCTTTTTTGCTGTATTTTGTTTCTGGCGGTGACCTTTTTTGTTCCAAGTTTTTATCCTGAGACTCAGAATCTGAGTCCTGTTGAAATTTGGAAGTCCTTACTGGCGATTTTTCTTCTAGGACTTCTTCCTTCATGCGAGTTTTAGGCACTTCCTTGTATTCAAAAGGAAGGTCTGTATTCAATATAATTTTTGTCTCTTGAAACGCTCGTTTAATTTGATCTGGATCTATTTGATTCATTCTCTGATTCTTGGCGTTTTCAGAATCACTATCAATAAATTTATATTCAGCAGTATCATCTTCTTCAGAGTAATTTTTAGCCTTGAACTGTCTTTTGTCATCTTGATCATGTCTAGCCCTTTCAACTACATCAGCTTTATCATTAGGAACTTGGAAATCATTGTAATAATACCCTATAGAATTCCCTTTGGTTCGATCTTCTTTATTTAATTTTGAATGATCACTGGAAATTTCCATATCATCATAGAGACCTGTGCTATACTCTTGCAGTGCAGCATCAACCCTTTTATTAACACCAGGGGAGTAACTTTTGCTTTTGCTCTTTGTCTTGGGAGATTTGTCTGATTTTTTCTTCTTTTTTGATTTTTTCTTCTTTTTCTTTTCCTTGTGCAGCTTTTCTTCTTCAGAATCGACTGACGAGCCTGAGGACGAATTCTTTTTGTTGTTTTCAATTAAAGGTGGAGGTGGTGGCGGCGGCGGTGGAGGAGGTCCAAATTTTGAATTCTGAGCCAGTATTGCCAATAACTGGTTGCCCAATGAGGCCATATTTAAAGGAGGCTGTGGTTGTTGTAGTTGTTGCTGTTGTGGTTCAATTTTGCCTGTGTCTTCTCTGTTGCGAGTCTTCTCATCAGAACTTCTTTCATACGACCTTGTACGTTCAGTTAACCAATCCACTTCCCAATGTGGATTTTGGGATGTGAACTCCTAAAAGTAAAAATAAATGATAACAATTAAACAAGTGTTTTAAAGTAAAATATTTGTCTTAACTATTTGACAATTGCTTGCAATAATATTATATATTATAAGAACATGTAATTATAGCAATATAAATCTTAGGTTTCTAAAAAAATGAACCTGTTTGGCTGTTATGATCATTTTATTTCTTTTCAGTGTGTATAATTCCTGTGAAGTTGAATTTATGTCATAAGGTAGCAGAAGTAGGGATATTTTCTTTGTTTGTCATTTTGGAACACACCCAACGCATCACAATGACTTGAAACCACACAACACAAATCGAACATCCAATTCTCCATTGGATTGTATTATCCCCATGCAAATCTGCCCAACCACACAACATTGCTCTACTCTTTGGAATGCAATTCAACCAGTTCCCAACTGTCCTGTTTTTGTCAGGTAGGGACGAGTACAACCGAAGACAAAAGAACCGGATACTCACATATTTTGCAGTTTATTCCAAACTATATATATTTTTGTCGTTATATTAATTACAACATGCTTATTTTAATGTAAATCAAATGAAACAAGATAAAAAATTCATGAGTTTTTATAAAAATGATTTACTTATGATGGTTAGGCAGAAAATTTTTCAAAACACAGGAATATCATTTATGGATAGAATGAATTAACTAACAATTTATTACATGGTTTTGCTTATAAAATTTAACTTACCATTTATTACATGGCTTTGTTCATAATAATGCAATTAAGCACAAAAGAGGCATTGTGATTATAATACACGCTGATTCCTGTGACTGACGTCTGTGGCATATGCTTGTGGGGCAGATGTGCTGCACACCCTACCAAAATGAGAAGCATCAGGTGATTTCCCAGCTTTAAGCCGGGAACACACTTACCCGATACTACGCCATGCGACGCTACCCGATGCTACCCGACGCCTTGTCACGTTTTGGTGGGGTGTGCACATCTATCCGACGCAAGCATACATCGCGTACAGTCCACAGTGTTTATCACAATAATCACTACCACAATCGCAACGCATCTTTTGTTCTTAATGCACTATTTTGAGCAAAACGTGCAACCATGTAATAAATTGTTAGTTAAATTTTATGAGCACAACCATCTAATAAATTGTTTGTTAAACTTAATTGTTTTATGTAGAGATTAGACTTTATTTAACTTTATTTAAAACAATAGTTATTCAGATATCGTGAGATGCGGTCGGGTGTGATGTAGGTTTCAGAAAAACATTTTCTTTATCGTGCCAACGCTTCGATCTTTTATTGAGATCATCTTCAGGGCCTGGNTTTGTTAAATGTAAACATTGTTTGTAAATCCCAGGCCCTGAAGATGATCTCAATAAAAGATCGAAACGTTGGCACGATAAAGAAAATGTTTTTTCTGAAACCTACATCACACCCGACCGCATCTCACGATATCTGAATAACTATTAATTGTTTTAAATAAAGTTACTCCTAACCATCATAATTAAACAATGTTTATAAAAACTTATGCATTTTTGATCTCGTTTAATTTGGTTTACATTAAAATAACATGTCATTAATATAACGACAAAATTGCATGTACTTAGTTTGAATTAAACTACAGAAAATATGAGTGTCCTGTTCTGATGCTACCCGACATTACAAAATGGTGTAATTTTACAAGCAAAACTATGAAATAAATTGTTAATTATAGTTTATGAGCAAAACCGTGTAATAAATTGTTCCAATTTTAGTATATGTACCGCCTAAGCGAATACAATAAATTGTTAGTAAAATTCATTATATCAAAAAATCGTATTCCGGTGTTTTGATTAATTTTCTACCAAACCATTAAAATTATTTTTTTAATTAAAAACTAATTAATTTTTAATCACAGTTAATTTGGTTTATATGAAAATAAGTATGTTGTAATTACTATAACGACAATAATACATGTAGTTTGAATAAAAATATGAGTGTCTGGTTCTTTTGTCTTCGACTGTACTCGATGTGACCCGACGAAAATCTGGACAGTGGGGATCGCAGAGCGTCGGGTAGGTTAGCGTGGCATAGCATCGGGTAGCTGTGCACAGGGATAATGCAACCTTATGGAAAATCGGAGTTTGGATTTGCGTCGGGTAGCATCGGGTAGATGTGCACGGGGGTAATGCAACCTTATGGAAAATCGGAGTTTGGATTTGCGTCGGGTAGCATCGGGTAAGTATGTTTCTGGCTTTAAGCTTAGGTTTTTTCAACTGATCTAGTCAGTCATTATTTTTTAATTTGTAATGTTTTGAATGGTGTAAATAGAACTGTTGTTTATTTGTGTTCATGAGTTTTTGTTAGTATTAAATGGTTTAGTTATTAAATGTGTTGGGTTTGTACATTTTCATGATTTTTAACGACCGAATTTCTGGTTCATCACCCCGCAGACAACACTGACTCACATGCGATAAATGTAATAATATTGAAGAAAAAAAATACTTACACCATACTTTTTAGCATGAACACTTGTTTTCAGATGCTTTGTAGCAAGGATCATATCTCCAAGCCACTCCTTACACAGAGAACAGTACCAAGCACTTGAAGGGACAAGGAACTGCACACCTGTAAAAAAATAAAAACGTAATAATGTAATACTTATAACCTAAAGGAAAATAGTACCTCATCATCATATTTACCAAGATTGTGATTTTAAACGTTTACAAAGGATATTTATACAAGGTATGAAAAAAAGTATACATTTGTTAATGAGAAAAGATATTGATTGTTTTTGTTTTTGTTTTTATCTTGAAATAAAATAACTGACAGGTTTTACATTTTGTAAAATTTATGAGATAAAATGGTTTTGTCTACAAACTATTACAATGTACATATTTTCAAAATAACAAACAGAGGTATATAACAAAATCAATTAAAATAATATTTTGATGGGATTCAATGCAATCTTCACATCCTCCTTCTTGCTCTGCTGAAAGCCATACTTAAAATAAAATCTGAACCTTGCTAAAAGGGTATAAAAAGATAATTGTTTGAAATATATGCATAAAATTCACAGATTTCAATTTAAGTAATTTTAATACCAACCTGTTTTATTTTTTTTTTTTTTTCTAATGTACATAAAATATGGAAACACGTCAAATACTTACTTTGTAAATAGATCAGTAGATCAAAATTTGTTAGTTATGAACATGTACGCAACAAATTTCCATTAAAAAAATTAAGTAATATTAAATACATACTTTGAAATCAACTCAAAGTTGTTTTTTTTAATATGAAGGTTTGCACAACAGGTTATATGAACCTCTGGGCTGTCAGTGTTTTTGAAAAAGCACATTTGTAAGTATATAGGGTTCAAATTCAGGATTGCTAGATTTGAACCCGAGGTGGACCTTTACCTTACAGTGATGAGCCTGTTAGGCCCCCCGCGCCCCTACGGTTTTGTTAATATTGCAATTAATAAATTTTACCCGAGATGATACAAAGCAAATGTATTTAATAAAATTTAAAACGAACTTACTCATTTTAAACATGCACTTTTAGTTCTTTACCTCTTATGGGTATCCTTTTATATGGTACATCCTTTATAAACAGCGGTGTTGGTTCTCTAGGATAGTCCACATGCCATGGCATGTCCTCCACCTTGATTTTCTGGTAGAAAAAAAATTGATAATTTAACATTAAAATTTATTAATTTAAAAATTTAGTATATTTATGTACATTATTACTTAAAGTAAGAATTTCACTTACACTTCTTGCAAGTTTGTGTTCTTCGGAATGTAAATGATTTAAATAATCAATGACCGTGCGTGGAAATACATTGCATTCTGAACACCAGTGTAACTCAGGATCGTAGTGGACCAAATTATAGCTGTCCAACTTGTCGTTGGGTGTCGGCGATGTCGACTGTAATTTTTCCTTTTCTTGATCTTTGTACTTTGGAGCCGGAGGAGGCGTTTCGCCACGTTTCTTCTATAAAACAAACGGGGCATTTTCGAATTGAATACATAACTCCCTTCGCATTCGGAGAGATAGTTTTATTATACCTGCCGACTTTTTTTTTTTTTATACTTTCTTCATGGTGAGCACTGAGGTTGTCAGTGTAATAAATATTTTTACATTTTTTGTATTTATTATATGCTAAAATTTCTATTTAATTAAGTGTCTCAACAACGTTTACTTGGAAAGGCATTGCTAATATCCTAGCTTTTTAAAGGAAACAAATTTCAGCTTACCTTCTCGGATTTCTTTTCCTTCTTAAACATATCAGCAACAACTTCAGAGAGATTTCCTTTGTCACCAATAATGCCTGACAGCATTTCGATAACACTATCAATTGACTTGAGCTTAGTCTGAATTTCACCCTTTAAACACAAAGAAACAAGTTGATTAAAAACAACTGACAACAAAAAAGGTAAAAAAATTAAAAATTCTTACCCTGAGCTTAGCATTTTCTCTCAGGATTCTTTCGTTGTCTTTGGAGTTTTCCTGAATAAGCTCTCGCTTTTGATCCTTTAATCTGCTCAACTCTCTAGTGAGTGATACCTTCTTTCTAATGTATTCTTCTCTTTGCTTGGCCAATGTCCGTTTCTGTTGAATCAGTTCTTGCTCAACAGCTGCAGAAGGGAAAAAGAAGTAAATTATAGTATTAACATACAAATTTTAATTGAAAAAAATCCATGTACTCTCTTTATAATTAATTTAAAGGTGTAACATTTTTTTCTTTAGAAAGGCTTAACATCCAAATGCCGGTCTGGTGTCGCGGATGAAGGGTGAAACTACTTTACAATACATTTTTCACATTACAATCAATTAAAAAGCCATGGGCTCGCTGGGATTTAAACCCAGAACTGCAAGCATGGCAAATATGATGGAGACTTTATATTTAAAATTGTTTAAATCGCAAAATTAATCTTGGGTTTGAAAATATAAAAATGACTGACTTTATTGAGTGAACTGCTCAATTAACAAGTTGGAGTGTAAATTGTTGAAAAGAGCCAAGCTTTTTTTTTTAATTTGAACAAAGATGTCTGGTAATCTATCAGATAGCATATATCTTTATTATTACAAACTTGAGATAAGCATCGACAAAGGTTTAAAATTTGTTCTTCAACTTCTTTCAAAGAGACAAATGAAACATAATATAATTACCTTCTTTTTTAGCTTCTTCAGTCTTTTTGTCCCCATGGGCAGAAGGAAGATGGTCTGAAGACGCTTGATAAAACAAAAAAAGGAATATATATTAAATGAATTGACATCAACATAAACCTAATTTAGAAAAATTGATGGTTTTTTCCCCAATTTTGATGAGTCGTCAAGGGCAATTCTTCGTTTAAGCGACATACAGAAGGTGAACTATGTTCTGTTCAAACAGGAGCTTCAAAACCATCCGTATGTTCTTACCTTAATCAATTTTTTGTCCAAAATATGAACTAAACATAGCATCTTCTTAAGTACAGAATCGGATTGCTCACTGTTAAAGAAAACGAGTAAAGATGTAAATGTGCTAAAATGGCTTTTTACCTCTCAAAAATGGACATTCCATTATGTTCAAAAGGGATTGACTAATATTTCGAAAAATGACTAAAGCAAGGAGGCTTGAGGAGAGATAAGGAATCATTTTAATTTTACCTGTAGTTGATGTAGGCATGACACTGAGGGGTGGTGGCTGTGTCATGTCTGGGTAGACCACATTGCTATCCCAGCTGGCTCCTTGTATTGCAGGACCACCCATGGTGTACTCCTAAAGAGAATAACACAAAAGAAAATATTTTAACCCAGATTTCTGAAAATCTAACAACTCTATTATTAATCTGGAGAGAAATTAATAAAAAACTTACTGCATCGATTCAACATAGAAACCCCCAATATCCGAGTCCTGTTGACACTGTATGAGGAATACACACATGTGTAAACATTAGTTGGGCTTCTAAGGACGTGTGAGATCGGATACACACAAAAGGCACTTGAAATAAGTTTCAGAACTGGTTTTTTTTGGGGGTTTTTTTTAGGGGATAGGGAGAGGAATCTAAAGAAACATTTAATTTGCTTGGACTAATAGTTTTGTAATACTGCATTCATTTTTAATAGAATTCGCCGATATACCATACTCAAGGAATTTTAAGCATGTTAGCTAAAAATAACTTATCTTTTCAAGTAGGAAAATTTCGAGGTTATAAAATAATTTTATAAATTTAAAAAAGTCTCCATACAAATATACTGAATTCAATATCAATATTATCTCAATAAAATTAATACCAATTATAATAAAAGTCATGGATAAGAACAATTGGAACGAATACACTCGGTTCATCCATCTTACAATTTGTAAATATGTACTCAATGCAGCTTTAATTAGACATCTATTTAAAGGTGTAGATTAGAAGTAAATATTTACTTTTAAGCCCGCGTTATTAAACATTTTTATCTTTTTTAATAAATGGGTATTGAAAGATGACAAGTAGCTTTTTTATACAAACATTTTGAAAAATGAGTGAAAATTCATGTCATATTGGAAATGCGTAAATAAAATAAACTGATGTTTGGACAGCAGCCAGGCAAGCTGATCATCAGACAAAAACATCAAGATTGCAAGAAACTTCCAGGAATTAGAAGTACTTTAGACAGACACACCTGCACAAAACATTCCTCACAAATCAATGCCTCAGAAGGATACAGTTTTTTCCAAATAATTGCCATTGAATGATTAAAATTATATCAATTCAACAATCTTAACATCAAGTTATGAGTTAAGCCTAGATAAACCATTCATGCCCTTGAGCATGTTGATCTAACGATTTATATTGATTAATTCTAACTTTTAAGATTAGATTTGAGAAGGTTGAAGCTGTTATTTTAGTAAACTGAAAAAATATTCTCATCATGTAAACCGAACACATCAAAGACAACTACAATAATTAAACCAAACCAGAATTCTGGAATGTAAAGATTTTTCCCACGTGTAGCTTACAACCCATATCTCACTCCTCCAGGTTACCACTTTAATTCTGTGTATGGCCCACTTGTTACAAGGCAAAACAACTCAATACTTCAAAGTTTTTGTTATTTATTTATTTTTAACAAGAGTATTTTAGCTACGAGGTATATGGACCCTCAGGAAGCCAGGTTTTTTTTTTTTTTTTTTTTTTTTGGGGGGGGGGATCTGTTAGTAAGCCTTCAAATCCAGCGGCCTTAACCTTGCAGGGATGAAGGGATGAGTGTGTCAACACCTTAACAATTGTGGCCACCCAAGTTTTTCACTTTTAAATTAGTACAAAGATGTCTTAAGGTTATTGAAAACAACGACCCATATTTTGAGGAATAAAGGTATTTGTTCGTTATGTTTAAATTTATTTAAGCATAAATAAAATGCGGATTTTTGTTGCAACTTTGTCAGAAATAATTATGCAGCCGGTTGTCAAAAGACTCAGATTTTTGCAGTAATAATTAATATCATATTTTAATATTTTAAATATTTAATCGCATGTTTTTCAATGTAATGAAAGTATTTGTCTGGAGCTAAATGAAAATAATTAAATGGAACTAATAAATATAAATAAAAAAATAGGTATTAATGATCAATTTTACACTAAATAAAACGTCCCCTTCCTACTGTTTCTTCATAAACATTTTGTTTGGTTTTTAAAATATAACTAAGTGAATCAATAAGAAGAGTTTTTGCTGTGTAATCTCTTTTGAAAAGAAGTTTGGAATACTTTTTACAAGTCACATTATCTAGACAAGTCTCTCAGATTGTTTACCAATACGTATTATCTATAGCATAACAAGCGATATACTTTCTTAAACTCACATCGTAGGTTTTCAGTGTGGGTTAAGAAGTGTATATTAGGCTGAAGTGGTGTTTTGTTCTTTCTTCATATGAAATATCAACATAAATAAATTGATAATTTTTGTTTTAATTTATCAAAGAAAGCTACTCAAAATAATCAAAATAAAAAATTAAGAGAATTTCATCAATGTATGGTTGTAATTATAGAACTCTTACAACTTTAAAATTATTTATCATTGTAGCACTTCTGAAGCTCTGGCCAGCTACATATTCAGCGCCATGTACTCCATTGGTTACAGATGCTACAATGAAAATAAATTGATCTGTCATATCAGTTCAATAATTACAACCTTCACTGATTAAATACAAAAGAAAACGAGAAAAAAATTACAGTAATAAACAGATTTTGTGAATTAAATTTTAACATCATTTTTCTAATGACTGAACTGATTCAATAATTTTAAATAATAAATAAATTAAATTGAAATAAATTTAAATAATATTGGACTACTGCAAAATAATGCAGGTTTTGAAAAGGTTGACAAAACTATTTTTAATTTTTATAAAATAAAGAAAATTCAACATTTTTTTATCACAACCTTTCTATCTTTCCCAACGTATATAAGTGCTTTTATTCTGCTGACATAAAAATCTTTATTTCAACCCTATAAAGTCTTAGAAGGCATTTTCCGCTTCACTGTGTTCTCTAAAAATTTTATCCCTTAAGAAGTTATCAAAATGAGTAAAAAAATGGAAGGCTGTAGTCAAGTGAATATGGATGGTGTGGTAAGGTTCCATATCCTAAATCCTTAAGTTTCCACAAGGTTGGCATTGTGACATGTGGCCTGGCTTTATCGTGAAGAAGAATCGGCCCCTTATATTGGGTTGTCCGGAAAATAATGCAGGATTTTGGTATTAAACAAAAAAAAAGAAACTAGTTACTTTAAAGCAATGTTCTTTAATCAAAATANTACAAATGAGTAATCCTGTAAACGTAAACAGAATATTTTATATAGATTTTTTTTAATGAAAACTTAAAATCCTGCATTATTTTCCGGACAACCCGATAGTTTACCAATGGACTGATGTTGCAGTTTCCTATAAATTTTGTCTATTTCTTGGCAATATTTCTCTGATGTGAGTTTCACCATAATTCAGGAAATTATAGTGAACAACCAGCAGTACACCACCAAATAATCACCATAACCATTTTTGGGTGCAGATTTGGTTTCACGAAGTGTTTTGGCGCTTCATCCTTAGCCACTCGGTCTTGAAAATTAGTCACGCCTTACAATCCCATCTTTTCTCTTGGAATTTACTATTTATGATCATATTCCTTCTCGAAATTGTATGTTTATAATTATTTTACAGTAGTGTAGTTATCACAGTTAGAATAGTTCCAACTTGGTGTTTGCGCCAGAATAAATAGTTTTAAGAACTAAAAAATGTACTTGTTTAATATTAGATTTATTTAAATGTAATTATTACTTTATTCCGTTTTGTTTATATATTTATTTTCAACATATATTAAAATAATCATAAAATTAATATAACTGGCATTAAAATACGGTTGGCCCTACAGACAAATAATATCAAGTAGGCCCGTTTTTTTCGCTTGGAGGCAGTGGCAGTGTTTATTGGACATTTGAACTGTGAACACATACGATGTTTTCGTTCCGTTCCCTAACCTATTAACCATCTGTCGCGAAGTAAAGACCTATTAGAAAAAATTGACAACCTCAGTGAAGGCATCACGCACATCACTTGATCCCCGACCACCTGATAACCACTGAGTGGCTACCTCAATCTGAACCAGTTCGAATAAATGAAGATTTGCTTCCTACTTCAAAACATCAGCTGAGTAAACATTAAAAAAACTTCTGTTTTAGCTTTTAATAATATTGTGTTTAATTTACTTTGTTAAGTTTAATATTTCCCTGGCCAATTGTTTATGTTTAAGAATTTAATTGTAAATGTAACAACACCACAATTTCATGAACAAGTACAATTATAGTATTGGTTGATCATAATTTTTTTTTTACTAAATTATCTCCTCCAATTCACCTTCAAGTAAAACACCCTTACATTCATACTTCTGGAAATGTATAGGGAGGTATGCTAATAATTGCCGTAAAGCCCCTCCCCCCCCCCCAACATTTTTGGTCCACACGGGCTGGATTTGAACCAGCTACCTATTTATTTTGGTCCTCCAGTTTTATTTTCTTTCATGATTAAGTTTGTGGGCGTCGGTGGCCGCAACAGTTTGGGCGTTGACACGGCGCTCATCACTGTAAGGTGAGGTCCCGGGTTGGAATCCAGCAGAAATAAACAAAAAAATTTTTTAAAAAATAAAAAATAATTTAAAAAACACTGGCACCCTGAGGGTTTATATGACCTCTGCTATTGCGAACCCTCATTAAAAAATTAAAAAATAAAAAAATAAAATAAATTAAGTTAGGAGAGATTTTCTATTTACCTTTTCATCCATTACCATAAAAATAAAAATAAATTATAAATGGTGGGGTGAGTGTGGAGTTCAATCCTTTTAAAAATAAAAATGTTAAAAACCGAAACCCTGCAGATAGATTTTGAATGCCATACTAACGAATTATGTGATTTGTCTGAGGAACATCACGGAAACCGAAAGGCTTTCTTTGTCGTCGAGGAAGACATCAGACAAGCGTTTAGGCAAACAAGGATCGCATATCTATGATTGATACCACTTTTGAACGGTTCCTCAATATGATGTCTAAAGCCCAGAAGATAAGAAAATATTTGGGATTAGAAATAGCCGAGTTGGATCAATTAAAGAAGGACACCAGAGAAAGGTATTAAGAGAGAACAACTTCTAACGAAACAAAACTACCCACGATAAAGCTTCCCAATTTCAATGGTGATATAAACTGTTGGCCTTCCTTCAGAGATACATTTCTTTCACTAATACTTAACTTTGACATAGATGACATTAGACAGTTTCATTATTTAAAATCATCCCTATCTGGATCTGCCTTCCAAGCCATATCGTCAATTCCATTAATTGCTTCAGAATATCATCAAGCTTGGAACAGCTTAACTAAAATATTTGACAATGAAAGGATACTGGCAACAAATTATTAAGTTAAAATTTTTAACTTTCCACCATTGGTGCAACATGATCAAACGTCTCTTGAGAGATTTTCCTCCACCGTTCTACAATCAGCTCAAGCCTTTAGCAATTTTACTTAACCTGGAAGACCCAGCAGGCTTTATACTTTTCACATTTTCACTTAGACTACTGATACCAAATCCAAAGAGCATTTTGAAGCAGATTTTGGACCAAAAGAAGTAATCCTATATTTCAATAGTTTCTCTAAATTTATTCAACAACAAATTCTGCAACTTCAAACAAATGCATTAACCTCACTAATACCGAATCAATCCGTGAAACCAACATCACACCCTAAACGTGTCCTGCTGCCCCTGGGAGTATCCTCTAATTTGAAGGCATGCCCTATTTGTCAAGAAAACCACAAAATCTTTGAGTGTAACCAGTTTCGTGCAATTAGCCCTTCGGATCGTTTCAAGCGAATAAAGACATTAAATCGCTGTTTAAATTGTTTTTCTACCGGTCATTCTTGAATAAAATGTCAGTCCACATACTCTTGTCGGCATTGTGGCAAAAAACATCATTCCCTTCTTTTACACTTGTCGAATGCTGAAAATGCCACAAACCTGAGCCACCAAGTATACATTTTTCGCATCCTGCCGTTGGAGCCCTTCATACCAACCAATTAAACCCTACTGTGGATGTTTCACGCTTTGACGATCAAACACCGGTCCTATCGGCAACAACTGGAGAGCCAAGTGTTATTTTTGGGACCACTGTTGCTCGTATACAGGATGGCAAAGGAAATTTGCAGCCAATACATATACTCATTGAATGTGGATCACAACCGTCATTTTTAACAACCGAGTGTGCCCGTTGGCTGTGTTTGCCAACTAAACCGAATCCTCAACGATTAGTCGGGCTGGGTGAGCAGTCAATCGCAGGAGGCAATTTGGCCTTAAAATGCATTTCAGCACCGAGTAAGAACGATGCACCTTGACTTTGCGTAACTGCTATCGTTTTAGATAAAATCACTGATCAACTGCCATCTTGCCATTTACCTAAAGTTGTGCAGCAACACCTTGGATTTAACCTCGCCGACCCTAAGTTCTACGAACCCGGTCCAATTGAATTTCTTCTTGGGGCCGATCTATTCGGAGAGATGTTGTCGTAATTCCATGAATTTACCTGGTGGATTCCCGACAGCCCTTAACACTATTTTTAGGATAGTTTTAATGGGAAGAATTTGTGAAGTGTCGTCAAACACTGCATGTTCCTTGTTAGTGAAGGAGACAAGTAGAATTCATTTGCGGACCTTCTGGGAGATCGAGGAAGTAGATTCAACTTTTCATGCCAATCCTCTCGAATTACAATGTGAAGATCTTTTTGCGAAGACCCATACGAGGGATGATTCTGGGAGATATGTTGTATCTTTGCCCTTCAAGGAAAACCCAGTGATATTAGGCGAATCAAAGCAGGGTGCTCTTGTCCGTTTTCACAAATTAGAACATCAATTCGGAAAGGAGCCTAGCTTAAAAGAAAATTACGATACTGTAATGCGAGAATATTTGTCAAAAGGCTACTATCTCTCATGCATCGCTGCCAGGCTAATATTTTCTCCCACATCATGGAGTGATCAAGGACAGCACATCGACCAAGCTTCACATAGTATTCGATGCTTCTTTTTCTACCAGCCATTTGTATTTAAACGACAAGTTATTGACTGGCCCGAAATTACAACATGATGTAAAAAATATACTACTTCATTTTCGCACATTCCAGATCGCAGTGACTGCTGATATCACGCAGATGTACCTACAGATTGTAAGGTCTCCACATGATCGTACTTTCCAACATTTTCTATATAGAGCCGACCCTAACGAGCAGTAACGGAATATGAATTAAATCGCTTGCCTTTTGGTTTGTCATCTGCACCATTTCTTGCCCTGCGAGTTCTCAAGCAGCTCGCTGTTGACAAAGGTGCTGAATTTCCCAATGCTGTGAATACTCTTCGGTATGGCATGTATATAGACGATGCCTTAACTGAAGCAGATACAATTGTTGCTGCTAAAAAATTACAGCGTGAACTCATTGAATTATTAAAACGAGGTGGTTTCAAATTGTGCAAATGGACCAGTAATTGTACTGACCTATTTGCGTTTGGGAAGATGGAGTGAAGTCTTAAAAGTACCACATCACTCGAGTATTAAATGGGCATTCCTTGACATTTGAAGAGCTGACCACCTTAACCTCTCAAGCCGAAGCCATCTTGAATTCTCATCCGCTTTACCCTATGTCCTCCGATCTAGACAGTTTCGACATGTTTACACAGGGCCATTTTCTAATAGGGGCCCCTGTCATTTCCATTCCACAGCGAGTTATACCACGCACCTACCCATATTCTAAATCGATGGCAGTTCCTGCAAAAATGTATAAATATTTGGAAACGATGGAGGTTAGATTATCTCAATCGTTTACAACAACGAGGAAAATGGAAAAAACGAACACCAAATTTAATTACCGGTGACGATCGAGATAATGGTTGGAGATATTCGCCATCACTGGTTTTTATCTTTGCAACTCACCCAATCTGATCCTTCACTGGGAAAACATCCTATACCTGTCCTACAGGCCAAAACATCGGCGCTATGGTGGGATCATGAAGTAAAACCAAAGTACCGGTAATTAAATTTGGTAAGGAACTGCCATTGATTTAGAATATGGGTAGGTGCGTGGTATAACTCTTGTTACCATTTGAAGAGGAGAAATTTTGACGAGTCAAAATTTGGTGGGCGGTATGTTTACACCGGAATAAATAGTTTTAAAAACTAAAAAATGTACTTGTTAATATTAGATTTATTTAAATGTAATTATTATTTTATTCCGTTTTGTTTATATATTTATTTTTAACATATGTTAAAACAATCATAAAATTAATATAACTGGCATTAAAATACGGTTGGCCCTTCAGCCAAACAATATCAAGTAGGCCCGTTTTTTCTATTGTAGGCAGTGCCAGTGTTAATTGAACAATTGAACTGTGCGCACGTACGCTGTTTTCGTTCTGTTCCCTAACCTATTAACCAACCATCTGTCGTGAAGTGAAGACCTATTAGAAAAAATTGACAACCTCAGCTAAGGCATCACGCACATCACTTGATCTCCGACCATCTGATGACCACCAAATGGTTACATCGATCTGAACCATTCGAATAAATGAAGATTTGCTACCTACCTCAAAACATCAGCTGAGTAAACATTAAAAAAAACTACTGTTTTAGCTTTTAATAATATTGTGTTTAATTTACTTTGTTAAGTTTAATATTCCCCTAGCCAATTGTTTATGTTTAAGAATTTAATTGTAAATGTAACACCACAATTTCATGTACAAGTACAATTATACTATTGATTGTTCATAATTTTTTTTTTACTAAATTAACTCCTTCAATTCATCTTTAAGTAAAGAACCCTTACATTCAAATTTCTGGAAACGGATTGGGAGGTATGCTAATAATTGCTGTTAAGCCCCTCCCACCAACACTTAGGGTGAACCAAAAACCCTTACAAAAACTTATAATTTTCCTCAAATCTGTTCCTATGAGCCACATGTTCTCATAATTAAGTAATTATTTTGTAAGTCATTCCTATTTAAAAGGAGGGCTTAACATCCAACAACCTGTTGAGTGTCACAGTCATCGAGTCTAGAAGAATTAAAATACCAGTAAAAACACAAATCCCTATCCTCAGATAGAAAACATGTGAAAATATATCTGTTACAATTGTGTGACAATCTCTAACGGGATAAAATTGCGATGTATTGGAACAATTATTGTAAGAAACACAAATTGTAAAAGCAATTCTACCAATATGCACAACAGAATGAGTCAAATATAATATTTGGAGGTATATAATTAAAAGGAAGAACAGGGGTTCTTCTGTGTTGGCATATTTTCGTTTAAAATAAGTTGCAGCTCCAATGATGAATTAATGCACAAGAAAAATGGCAAAAAAATTATTCTCCTTACCTTCAGCAGCATACTGCTGTTAACAGTAAATTGTAAATTAATTATACTAAAAATCTGTTATTATAGCAGTGTCAATTGATTTTAATTATCTTTCAAATTAATAAGGTTAATAATATTAATTGGTTGTAATTTTAACTGGCCTACACTGAACTATAAAAAACAGATTCAATTAATTTAGAAGAATATCTTGTATCAATTCCAAAATTATCAGCTTATATTTTAAAGGATGTTTTGCTCTTACATGAGTCATCGGTGGAGGCTGCTGGAAATTTTGCTCCTGGTAATAGTTTGATTGATCATACCCTTGGTATGGATTGTAGGGCCCTCTGAAGCCCTGGGAATTGTAATTCTGAGGGTAGGACGTCTATTGAAATTGTGGAAATTCCATTACAATCAATTTGAAATATAAAAAAAAGGAAAATATAAGCATTTCTTACATCTGAATATTGCATCGGGTACGCAACCTGTTGGTCTGCTTGCTGAAAACCTTGTTGGGTGTACCAGCCGCCTTGCTGACTGACATTCCTACTGTCTGTGTATTCTGAAGTATCTTGTTTTCTATAAACAAAAAAAGAAAATCAATAAAATTGATAAAATTCAACAAAACAAAAACCTAATAGTAAAACATAAAACAATGACTTTTGCCCACTTTCACTTCAACAATCATAAACAATTATCAGGAAGGGTTGATGATAATAAATGACAAACTACATTAGTAGGATACAATGAGAATAGGACATTATGCTATAAGGGAAGATTGAGGATATAACTGAGAATTTTGGGTCAAAAAATTTTGAATGTTTAATTAATTGTCATTTTGAGACCATATGTTCAAGGCGATAGCTTTGCTACAGACAAATATCAAAATTTATGTAATGTTGTTTTTTTGGTCTCATCAAAGGATGAGATGTCTGTCCTATATTTAAAAAAAAATCTAGATAGTGCACAAGTTTTGTGATAGGTTCGCAAGTTTTCTTGAATTAAGTTATCTTGAATATTTGTTTATTTAAATTTTAATTTATGTAGTTTTCCCTCTTTTTTTATTTAAATAACAACAACATAAAGTAATAAAAATTGTATAATGGCTTGATTACCTCCTTCACTTTTTTCTGCCCATAATCTTTTTTTTTTTTATCGGTCCAGATAGAACTAGTGAAAATAGAACAGACCATCAAATTACCAGCTCATCGCCTAGAAGTCCTTATCATGAAGTGTCAAATTTAATGTTTACTGAGCAAAACATTGACTAAAAACAAAACTTCTCCCTAACATCAAGAATTATCAATTGGTTATTCTCAGATTTTTATATTAACATGACACAAAAAGCAAACTGATGTTATAAGTTGGCTACAAAACATTCCCAAGACCCTGAATGAGTGAAACAAAACAAATAATATTTCTCAAAACATAAGGATANTTTAAGATTGATAAAAATTTACTTAAATTAAATTATATTGATGATATGTATCTTAGTGCAGTAAATAATCTACATTGCGATAAAAACCTAGTTGATAAAGATTCTAATGATGGTAAACAGGTTCTTCCCACTCCTCTTCTGGACCACAACCAGAGGAAAATCAACATAGTTGATATTACAAACGGCATTGGTATAATTCCTGTAAACTTTGGTTTGGCAAAATTGGAAATTTCAGAACATACTTTTATTCACTATTTTAGTTTTAGAGAATTGTTTAATCAATTAGACTATGTAGAAGAATTTTATAACCATGTATCTAAGATTATCTATTCCAATAATATTTTGTTAAATAGTAAAAATGTAGATTATATAACTGTTAATAGTAGTAAAACAAGACATATTGTAAATACTTTAAAATTAATTAATCATACTAAACATGTAATTGCAGAAAAGTTAGAAACAGTTTTTGTAAAAAATAAGAATAATGCTAGAATAAAAAGAGGTTTATTTAATGGTGTAGGATCTATTTTAAAAATGTTAACTGGTAATCTTGATGCTTTAAACAGTGAAAAGTTAGAACATTTATGAAAATACCAAGAAAACATTAAGAACCAGATAGAATCACACTACTCATTTAATGTAAAAATTATAGACGAATTTAACAAAACAATGAATAATAATAAATGAAAACTATCGAATTAAAAACTAAAATTTTAACAATAAACGACAAGTTAAGTGATTTTGTCGAATTAGAAAAACTAAGCGATTCTATTATTCAATTACAACTTACATATCAAATGTTGCTGAATGTTGTACAAGATTTAGAAAACTCCATAATATTTTGCAAGCTACAAAAACTTCACCCCAGCATTATATCTTCTCAAGAATTGTTAACTGAAATTCAGGAAATCACTAAATTTTATAATAGACTACCGTTTAAACCAAAAGTAGAAAATATATTATTTAATAAAAGTTATTTGCGAAGTTCATTATGAACAAAATTTTATTACGTCTGCCTTTGGTCACTAACAACGATTATAATCTTTACAAATTACTATCAGTACCTAGGCAACATGAATCTAAATTCATAACTATTATACCTAATGTTAACTATTTTCTTAAACCCAAAATGTATATTCATAATATAGATATCATGTTTAAATAATAATTGTAAACAAACTAAATTGAAATATCTATGTTCATACCAAAAATCAACCATAAGGACAACCTGTGCAACAAGGCCTCACTTCATTCTTGTGATCCTCGAACTGTACATACACAGAACTCGTCGTAACCGACAATCACCTGACTTGGATACCTGAGCTTAACCAGTATTTGACTGTATTTCCTACTGAAGAATTTATTAACATAAGCCGCCAGGATGGGACTGCAGTAAAATGACAGAAAGGAATATTTCTACTGAACATCAACGGCAGTAAAGTGTACCACTCTTCTAAAACTTCTGGGCATCCGACAATTATTAGTAACATTAAGCTCGGATTAAGCAAGAATCAACAGCCAAAATTCTCAATTAACATTAAAAAATTGGGATTAGACAAGCTGAAACTCAACCATGTTTCGCCAATCATCAAGACTCGAACCCACGACCTTCGGCTAGATACACCGCTGCTCTACCACTTGAGACGTCGTGACTTTTAACTCAACTAAAAACCTTAATTAATTGAAAGTTATTAATTGGTCAAGTGGACCACGAAAACTATGAATTTAATAAGTTAAAATGATTTAGTTAAAATTGGTAGCAGAGCGAACCACGTACTCAATAGTTGATCAATTTAAAATTGACCTCTTAATAACGACAGTGTAAAAGATAATAAATTAAAATTGGATCCATTTCTACACGAATGAGCAGGTTCTTTCATTTCCATCCCAAATCTCAACTTAAATATTCCTTCCAACTTGTATTTCCTATTATCCTGATTTTTCCGATATTTGTTAATGCATGCTGGGTCAATTAATCAATAAAAGGGCAGATAAATAAAATATAAAAAAATTCTCTTTCAAAAATTAAATTGTGTTTAATTGTGTTACATAAACTGTGGTTGTGTCTAATCATTTTCATTTTTAAATCTATTTGAAAATGACAAAAATCCAACGAAAGAACTTAAGTCTGTCACAAAAAAATTGAGCAGTTGGAAATGGACGCAGCCATCAGAACATCCTCATGGATCATTTTCTCCACATCTTGGAATCCCTTGTTTTTTATGTTAAAAAAGGTTTATCCGACATCATGAATGAGCAGCACCATGAATTGTTAACACAAATTGTAGAGAAACACAGACAAAAAACCTTTTCTCATAGTGACTCTATAATAGGTACACAATCCCTCCCCCCAATTCCAATCCATTTTATTAATTTTAGCGGAAAAAGAAATAAATCCTACTTGTGCTAATTTTTTTTACAATGCGCTGTCACATCCGAAGATTAGTTTTGACATGTTCGCCACTGTCGTTGCTCAACTATGGCATGTCTCAAAAACAATATTTAAAAACTAAGATGGACTATCTTTTCTATCCACAGAAATTAAATGAAAATTAGCATGAATACATAGACAGGCAAATAATCATGTTGAAACTATTTGGGGAATACAATGAACATGCAAATATTCAAAATTTAAAAACATCTATTCATCCAAAATATTTATTGTTACTAGGATACCTTGATAATATTAATACATACGTCCAATTACACAACAAGGTGAAAGAAGTCGAAATAAGACTAAATGAAAATTCGCTCTCAATTGCACAAAACATGCATACTGTAAACAATGTGCCAAATTTTCACATGTCACAACATTTTCAGCCCAACAAACCATAATTTACTAACAGAAATTTCCAAATTTGGCCACGACCTTATACATATCACGCACACTATACACCTAGGGGGGCGTCGGTGGCCACAACAGTTTAGGCGTTGACACGGCGCTCATCACTGTAAAGGAAAGGTCCCGGGTTCGAATCCAGCGGCCCTGCACTCGAACCTGACATACTTACAAATGGGCTTTTTTCAAAAACACCGGCACTCTGAGGGTTGATATAACCTCTGCTGTTGCAAACCCTCGTTTAAAAAAAAAAAAAATTCATCAACCACTCACCACCTTTTCAAACAAGCGTAACGGAAACGTATAAACGGAAACTCGAAAAGTTATAACCATAGCCAAAGGGATAATCGAAGAAATCCCAACTTTGGAAATCTCAATAGAAAGGAAAGCTGTACAAGAAATCTAAATTATCAAAACAATAAAAATAAAAAATTTGTACAATTTGACAAGCAGGCTTTTCCGACACTGAATGAAAATATAGTAAAACTTCAACAAATTATCACCACCAATCATCCGGAAAATACACATAAACCGCTTCCCCCCCCGCACAAAATTTTAAAAAACTAATAGCCAACGCAGTTCCTCAAGATGAAGCAATCCCACATCATGCCATAAGATTGCCATTTATTATAGTCAAAGTCGGAAGAGTTGAGCTTCCAGCCCTATTAGATTCCGGCAGCTCAATGCCATTTCCCAAAAATGCGCAAAACTTCTCGGCAGGAAATTAATTAAAACCTTGAGCTTGGCTGATGACAAAAATAAGTTTCAATTGCAGGGACTGCACTTACAATACAAAACCAAGGCACAATTAAAATTAAATTTAAAAATTTATCCTGGCCAATAAAATTCCAAATTATAGGAGACATGCCAATCCCTATGCTTCTGGGGTATAATTTCATGACTCACACAGACTTGATTTTAGATGCAGGTAATAACGAAATTTCATTCATAAATAACCCTTTGAAAACTTACAAAATTCGTAAAAATAAAACAATAATAATTTGGAAGAGAATTCAAATCAAATCATATCACACATCTATCAACATCCTGTGATAACTATTTAAGGATTACTTCACTAAAGCTCTCCGTGGCCATTTCATTTGTTGCCAAGAATCAAATAGATTAAACGACATTTGAAAAATGGCAAAAAGGAGGGAAAATTCAAAGGTGGAGTTGAGATGGGAAATTAGTGTCCGAGTGGATCAAAGTCATGATAGCTCAAGTGGTAGAGTAGCGGCGTATCCAACCGAAGGACGTGGATTCGAATCCCGCTCGTGACAATGATTTTTTTTATCTCAACTAAAAACCTTAATAATTGAAAGTTATTAATTGGTCAAGTGGATCACGAAAACTAGTGAACTTGCGTCAAAATAATAATGAATTGAAATAATTAATATGGTTAATTATGACCATTAAGCAAATATGGATTAATTTAATAATAAAATTAGTTATAAATAACAAAAATTACACAATCCATAAAAAAAGAAGGATGACAAAAATAAAGACAAGAACAATATAATTAGATCATTAATAACCATGTGCCATTTTATAAACAAAGAGTTTTCAGTAGAAGGCAGAAAATCTGTGATTTCATGAATTTACTATAGTAAAATCTCAATTTTTCAAAGATATGAGTTGGACACATTCTGTATTTATCAACTATTGATGCATTATTTGAACTTTTTAAAATATTTATTATTCAGTATTAAAAATATAAAATGAGTTACGGCAAAAATTATTTTGGATTTGTAATATGTTAGTTTACTTTTGTATTTAACCAACTACTACTGTATATATTGCTTGACAGACTAAACAGAGTTAAGAATACACAGATCAAAGACAGTTATAAACAATATGATGGAACAAACGACAATTCGACAAGAACAGTTCCCTCATGTGTCAGCTCAAATCAACAGTCTAAAAATAAAGAATCAAGCCATAAAAAAGCTTGTTTATCACCATTTCTAATTTCATTAACATTTTCAGCCATCAAAATAAGTGAAATGTGACAATCTGACCATGTTGAAGCAAGTTAAAATAAATAATGAAAGCAAGAGATGAGTTTTGTCCCACTATTTTGAATTTTGGAAAAAGTATTAAAATACAGACATTTATTTTTTTAGAGGATTAATATAAGACATTAGACTAATCATTGAAAACAGAACTCACACAGACAATCAAACAGTAACACCATTTAAAAGAAGTACTCTAAGGACTCATTTTATCCTATTAGGAAAATTAAAAAGTTAATAGTTGCCTGGGTTCCCAGGCTCATATGGAAAAGTGAATTAAATGATGAAATCTTTTACATCCTAACATAATGCTGAAAAAGCAAGAATTTGTTAAGTATGTCAATGTAATGTTTGTTTTCATAGCGACATCCCTCAATTTTATATGTTACAATATATACAATAAAGACAAATCCCTAAATTTCAATTTTTAAACTTAAAAATGCCACTTAGTGCTAAGGATGTTGCGTGTGGAGTGGCACTTATTGATGATGGACGTTCATCAGTTGTGCGGCCATTAACATCGGAGTTCTCTATGAAAAACTGCGAGATGGTGTTAAGACGTTTTTGAGAAACTGGTCCTACCATAGGTTCTAGACGCTCTAGGGTAACAGAACCACAACCAGCGCATACCGTTGTTCAAGTGATTCATCAGCTCCAAGACATTCGAGGTGTCCAAGTTTCTGACACTCGAAGATTAAATCAGTATGGTCTGATGGCCCCCTAAGAGGACCTGAATTGACCAGAACACACAGATTATTATTCAGAAATCGTGAGATGGTGTGTCTTAAGTTTCAGAAAAACAGTTTCTTTATCGTGCCAACGTTTCGATCTTTATTGAGATCATCTTCAAGGCTCAAAGTGTTGTTTGTTTTCTGCGTAATTGTGCATTCTTGCGTGTCTTGTTGAGAGTGCCCTATATAGGAAAAACAAGTGCTATCATCCCTAATTCAATATTTTTAAAACTGCTTAACTTTTTTCTCAACGAAACAATGTGAGCTTTGAATGATGTAGCTTTTAAGCTACTAAACTACTGAGTGTTGTCCAACACGGTACGGACAAGTGGGTCCTCCATCACCGTCACCGCAAGTCAGCCGACTGTTGGACGTCACGCGGTGCAGGTCAAGTGCGGTCATGTGAGGTCCATGCTTTAGTTGTTGTTCATGGAGTGTTTTTGATGGCCACTCGCTATGTGGATGAATTTTTTTGGAACATGTGTTGCCTATCCTCAATGAAATCGGCGACAATCCTATTCTAATGCACGATAATGCCCATCCACTTGTCACTCGCATAGTACAAACATACACACACAACAACAACAGCATAACATCAGTGTGTTAGCCTGGCCAGCCCGTTCTCCAGACTTGAAACCCATCAAACATTTATGGGATAACCTCAAAAGACGAATAAGGGCAAGTCCATCACTTCCTGATACACTCCACAATCTTGAATGGTTTCTTCGTGAAGAATGGGCTAACCTCCAGAGTGGTAGAAAATATGCCGAGGCGTCTTCGAGATATAATTAAGGCAAGAGGAAGAAATACGCAATATTGGAATGTTAATTAAAAATGTAATAAGCAAATTAAGCAAATTTTATCTTTTTTTTTATTTTCCTTAGCATTTTTTTCCTTTTTTACACAAAGACACAATTATTAAACATTAAAAAATGTGAAACTGATTAATTTATAAAAATATATACAAATCAAGTTATATTACAAGTGGGTGGAATTTTTTGCCTGCCCGTGTATGTACTTGAGAATATAAATAGATATGTTAATAATTATATTAGTTGATTGTTTTTTTAATCTGAACCTGTGGGGAAATTGTTGTTAATTTAAAAAAAAGTAAAAATTTACCTAGTGTAGTCTCTGGAGTTTGAACGGCTCTTGGAGCGCCTCCTTCCTCTGGAGGAGCTGGAGTTGGAGGAGCCGGAGCTGCTCCTTGAGCTTGAGGACGAAGATCGGCTGTCGTTGGAAGAAGATCTGCTCCGCCTCCGCTTCTTATCTCTCGCGTATTCGCCGTCTGCTGAGTTTTCAACTCCTTCGGACCGGTTCTCCTTAGCATAGGTCGAGTCATTTTCCTTCTCGTCTTCCGCCGAGCCGGGGCTGTACCTGAACTTCCTGCTGTTCTCCCAGCCGGCCCTCGAAGGGGGCTCGAATCGTTCGTTCGGCTCGATCATGTCCTTCGTCGAATATTCGATCCAAGAGGGGAAACGTTTTCACATGATTTGACGGACAACGCGTAAATGGCGCCGACCGGGGCGGACGGACTGGAATGTGAGAACGTATCAACGGCGTGACGGCGGAAACTAAATGGCTGACGTACTTCCTTCTCGACTCTTACAGACTTAAACAACACTTCTCGACTTTTACTTCGTTTTTACGAGTTTGAAACTTCGGGTGAGACTTACTCTAAGAACAGTACCCACCGACTCGATCACGTTCAGGCCGTCGACAGTGTTGCTCAGAAAACAAAAATATGGCGATTTGGCGAAACAGTCTGAAATTGCTCTTACTCGTCTAAAAGCCGCAAGCTATTATAAAAAATAATCTCACGATCACTGACGGCTATATTAAAACAACAGTTATATCTCGTTAAACGGTACTAAAATGGATTACTTTATAAATAACCGGTTACTTTATAAATAAGCCTTGTAATTTTTTTGAAATTCTCTACTGCCATTTCGATATTACATAATTTCTAAAAACATAAGAATTATGATGACTATGTTTTAAAATAATTCTTTAATTAATATTTTAAAATAATTAAAAATTCACCACTATCGATTTGACAAAAAGGATCAAGTGCCAAAAGGTGAAAAATGACAGTAGAAACAATAAATACAAATAAAAATTTTTGAAGGCGCCCTTCCGAAAAATTTCGAAATTTGCTTGTTCAAATAAAGATATATATGTAATTTTAATAATACTCAAATTCATTGCACCGATAATAACACTAAATTAATTAGCATAAAATTGTGCTATTGACAAAAATTAATATAAAAAAAATCATTGTAAAAATGTATATATATTCATAGCTCACTGAAGAAAGCACAAAGACAAAGGTACCGATGTTGCAACATCCATTCATAATTATTGTGAATTATTAAGATTAAAAACAAACTACCATCCTTTATTATATAGCTGCTTACAAACTATTATACAAAAATGAAAAGGAAGACAGTTTACATTAATTATGAATGGATGTTGCACCATCGGTACCTAGGGTGTTGACAAGCTTCCGTATACCCAAACAGGTACAAATGATTGTACTACACTGAGTCTTTTTTAGGGATGGTCTTTTTTATTTTATATATTTCACACCTCACACAAAGAACACTTAGCATCAGTGTTCCACCGGACTGCTACAAAACAATAAACTGGACAACTCAGCAAAACAGTACATACATTGTACAGACCATGGAGGGTAATGGAAAGGCAGCTAAGGCCAGGATGTCTTCACCCTTGGAACGCAATTCAGTCCTCTGATGCTAAAAATGCAATAAAACATGGCAGAGAATCTCTCATATATCAAGATCACTGACAATAGCCCTCAAAGGATCTGACTTGTAGAAGAGAGGTCATCATCACCTGATTAACAATAGGCCATGCGAGGTTGACACAGGGACACTTACTTTTGGGCCAAAGCCTAGGTAAGTGTCTGACATGTGGAGAAAGGTTGCTCGATGTGTTCTACTTAATTGAATTGGCTTTATATAAAGAGTATGTAGTAATGCCGCCCAATGTGAAAATTATGCTTGACCATGGCGGTGATTATCTTATCTGGGTCCCCTATTCCAATTTTTAGAGAAAACAGGGCTTTATACTTAATTAATACTTTATAGATATCTCATCTTGTGTTTTTATGTTGAGACTGAATGTATTTATTAGTATGAGAGGGCTGATGGAAGAATATTGGTCTCATAGACCATCATTTAGATTAATGATGTAATATGTGTAGATGGAGATCGAGGAATATCAAGTACTCCCACCACCCTAACTGAGTGAATGGTATGCAAATAAGTAAGAATGTATTTTAGAGTGAGTGAGAGTGTGAATGGATTTAGGAACTGATTGCATTGGAGGCTGAAATGACCTAATTGTTGGGCTACCCTGGACACCACTCTCGGTGGCTGGACAGATAAGACCAAGGTCTGACCTCGGACTGCCAATACCCAGGGTGAATGATTCTCAAATTTATTGTAAATTACAAAAGCTGGAAATGCAGAAAATGATTATGAGCAGTGATAGACTCAGCTCTGCATTCGTGCATATGTATGTACATCCATGTGCCAAGTTGGTCTTATATAAATTAGTATTCAGTAATCAGCAAGGCTACAAACCAAATGTTCCTTGGCAAACAAGTTGCAAACAACTTGAACTTTTGACATACAATTCTTTAATTTAAATGTTTTACATGTAGAGACCGGATTTGTATGAAATTGCATATTCTTATTGCTAGCTTTTATGACCATTGCAATCAGATATGTATACCAATCATACTGTCATGGTACAATGGTTCAAATTTTATTCAGTTCTTGCATATTTGATGATTATTGAAAATTTGAAATATTTTTGATTACTTAAAAAATAAAAATAAATTGGGCCACCAAATTCATTGTTCATACTTCTTTCTTTCATTCTTTACTTTTCCTCTTACATTTGCTTACAACAATAATCAGTTGCCCTCTTTCATATTTTCAACCTAGAAAAAAAGTTTGATTTTTCCTTCCTTAATGAAGAGATAAATTAATGAAATCTTCAATAGAAACAATAAAGTTGTTGATCCAGTTATTCCAAGTTCCTACAACTATGCTTGCATCATTATTTGACTAAAAAATCTGTTTAGAAATACAATTATTTGTTGAGCAATAAACACTGTAGTTTTACAGAAAATAACTGAAATGTACTTTATTGTAAATTTTATTTTAGATGAATTAAGATTAGTTATTTATATAATATTTTAAATTATATGATTTTCTGAGTGACAGATTTTTCTGTCTCATTTATTTCCTTATAATACAGACATATTCTTCAATTATTTTTATGTACTTGTGTTAAATTAGGTTTTTTAATAAATAGGCCCTGATGATGGTGAAATAAACCACCAAAGCTTGGCACAGCCCAAAAAGTTGTTTTTTTTTCTCTGTGTGACCTCTAAAGATCTTATCACCCAAACTTAAATTTTTAATGATAGTTTAAAATAATACATTATTGTTAAAAATTCCCCCTGACCCAAGGCCAAATGCATGTGACATATAAATCAGTGAGTGAAGATGAGCCCGGCAAATGACCATTTCAACTTGTACACAAATTATAGTAATTTGTATTGTTGTTTGTTTAATTTGTAACACAATTGTTAATATTAATTACTATAAAATTGAGCTAATAATTAACAAAATAATAAAACAAAAAAATCATTTTATGAAATTTACATGAATCCCTAAATGAAGTGGCACAAAAATTTGTGTTTGTAGATAGACACAGCAAGAGAAAGCATTGCAACATGTGCTCCAATAATGTTAATTACCCAATTTTGATGTTATTTACTTACGGGTAAAAAACAATAAAAATAATTTAAATATTTAATATCTAAAAATTTACTGCTAATGATGTTATTAGACGAAATGTGTATTGTTATATTTCACATGTGCTCGGGGCTGAAATGACCTAGCTATCGAATGCCCCTGTAATTAAAAAAAAAATAATAATAAAACAAATACAGTAAAGAGACAACACCTTATAGAGTTTGATTGCCTGTTTGATATTTCTTTTAGATTTTTTCCTAAATTATTTATCTTACTTTGCAAAAAAATTATAATTTCAAAGATAGCTAATTTCAATACTCTACATTCATTAACCTTTCTGCTTGCAGAATAAGTAGAAGCTTTCCTTCAGGCCTTTTTACTTATCCTGAGACTTACAACAGAATTATCACAATCAAAAATGGAATATATTTCTAGATTTATAGAATCTATTTTTGTTTGTTAACTCATTAACCTTTCTGCTTCTGAAAGTTGTTCAAACATTAAAAACATAATTAATTTGATATTTCTCTGATTTTGACATTTATTTTTTCCAGTGAGGATTAAGTGGTATCCTCAGTTTTGAAGTTTAGTTTGATTCAATTTTAATAGATAGTTTTTATACAGAAATATTTAGATTTAATACACTCTAGATCTTTTTTTAATTGCTGTTAATAACTCCTAAATGACAATCATTTCCTCCTCTGCGACCTAAGTAGAGCTTGTGAAACCTGTTAAATTATAGCCTTGGAAAGTGTGCTTTTTCTTTAAAACTAAGCACTTTCCTTGAGGCCTGTTTGCATACCTCTTTTGGTGTGAGACTTGCCCTACCAAAGAGGATGTACCGTAACTAAGCTAATGCTTCACGTTCACAAAGGATATTTGCCTATGACTGGTTCATCAAAGTGGGCATGTTTCTGTCTCTGCTCCATCAATCCTGTGCAGATGTTAGTTAAGAGGGCAGTATCCTCATTACCATACTATACCATTTCCTCAAACCAGTGGTTGAGTTTTTCTTTTTCAAGCCATTTTTCCAGTACCAATTTAAGCATGCACTCACTCGGTGCACCTAGCTGTGGTTCTGGTCCTATGGGTGAGAGGGCTGCCCCTTTTTTGACTAGTTGGTCAGATAGTACAAATTTAAATATTACAATCTCAAGTTTTACAAAAGCCATGATAAAATTTTGGTAATGTTTTTCCATTATAGTTTAACAAATGTGTCAGTATTAAATGAAATGAAAATAATACTCATCAGTAATTTTATTTAAAGGCCAGATAATAAAAAATATCACTCTTCAAAAATATTGAAAATTTGAGCCATCAATTTAATTATTATAATTTTGATGAAAATTATGTTTTTCTTTTACAATCCAAATATCATCAATGACACTTCTATCTTTTCCCTAAAAATCAAGCAAGAAAATTAAACAAATTGAAAACACAAATGGCTATAATTACTGTCTTACTTTCTCCACTGATATTTGCTGTAAATGGAGATGGGATGTGTTAAAAACGTCCAAGATTGTGAACCCATAGTCGGAACTCCTAAATGCTGACCATGGCGGTGGTACTTGCGTAAAGTTAACTGTGTTTTCCTGGCAGCCCTGTAATTCATTTTTTTCCAGTAGAAACTAGCAGTACATAAACATTCAATATAAATTTTAAAAAGTTAATTTTACAGCAGAGCCAGTAATTATGTGAATAGGGGCTTCAGGATTGTGATACGGGTTCTTCTTAGGACCCTTTCTCACAGTGTAATTATATAGAGGATAAAGCCTTTCATATGAGTGTAAATGCCCCCAGAATGCAACATCAACATTATTTTCATATAATAAATCTTCAAGACCAAACCTTTGAAAAAATTAATAGTGTTAGTGTATTGTTATTAAATGTTTAATTTTTTATGTCGAGAATGTACCATTTAGAGATAGGAAGACCTGTTCTTACACGATTATTCTTATTTTTGCAATCATCAACCACATTGTCTGAACAGTACATTGGTTTATGTCCATATGCAATAATCCATGGTCGTTTATTTCTATTTTCTGGTAGATTAGCTTCCTATTTTTAAATAAAAAATAAATATAAAATATATTTAAGCAAAATTGCTACAAAAGAAATACAGGAGTACCTTTAAGTCATTCACTAGCCACTCATATTGTTTAACAAGAAGTTTCATTCCATATTTTACAAAGTAATAAGCCTCAGTGTTTAAACTAACAAAATGGATTGGACCCAAATTAAAACTGTAGTACAAATTTTCACTTTGACCAGGCATAGAGAAACGTTCTCTGAAGTGGCTGAAATTGCTGAATTCCAAACAAAAAGAAATCAAGTTTTTTCCAGTATTTCCTCCTGTGGTCTGTGGCCTTCTATGAAGTTATATATATATCTGACAGACCATTCCAGCAAGGATAAGCCGTCCAAAATGATCAGATATGGCCAAATTACAAAAAAAATTTGTATACTTACTAAGCCTCTTCATGATTACCAGGGCAGACCATGTAAGGTACATAAGACGCAATCGGCTGTAGCTGTCTCATAAATTCATCCCCCACCCTTCCATTGTTCTGCATCAACAGTCAAATTATATGATAAAGATTTGTAACAGAAAAAATCAAGACTTTACATACATCATTCATATCATAGGCCATATCTCCAACATGAATTACAGCATCGTACATGTTTCGCTGGATCTCTTCTTGAAGTATAGGAAGTGACCTGGCATTGATATTGCCCATGTCACCATAGATGGCCAGACGAGGGATCCAATCAGACTCGTTGCTAACAGTCCAAAACCAGAACATTTCAGACCACCCATAATCACTTCCACAATGATACACTGTAACAAAACCCATTGGCAATACTAAATCATTTTAAAAATGTAAGAAAACATAGCTGCAGATGTAAATTCAGCGGAATTTTGAATACTGCACCCTTTGAGGGCTATTGTATCCTTTCTCATGTACTTACTGTACAATAATGAATCAAAGAATTTAACAGTTTTATTTTTTCTGTAGTTACATTGTCTCAAAGCATTTTTTTTTTCCTGCAAATAAGTGTGATACTACATCTGGTGCAATGGAGGTCTCCTCTGACTCTTTGCCACGTACGCTATTGGTTCATGCCAATCTTTCTCATGAGCTGAATCCACACTGCTTTGCTAAGAATATTATTAGGATTTGGATTCTCTTCTTAGTTCCTTTGATGTATTCTGTAGTTTCTTTCTCTCCAAATCTTGTCAGGAGGTTTTTGAATAGTTCATTACGTACTTCCACTGTTTTCTCACTTTCGCTTCTTTGTTTCTAAGATGCTCGTTGATTATATAGATCCCTGTACCACAAAATTATTCTTCTTCAATTGCAAGGACATCGACTTTTTCATTTTCCTCTACTTTTTGTGCTGGGTCCCTGTACAGAGAGATTTTCTTTTTGAGCACCTAACATGTTCAGCTTGGTTTAACAATTCAGCACCATTCTCACATTAATGAAATTCAAGTTTTTGAGATATTGAGCAACACCTGCGCAATGTCTGCCCCAAAAGCAGGAGTCCATGAGACAATCAGTGACTTGACCTATCCTCAAACGAGTGAGCACGATTCCTTCCTTGCATTTCAGATTTCATTTTCCTGATTTCAGTAGGCCATCACTCAATCATGCTCCTGACACACAAGAGCTTCTCAGACAATCCGATCCAGCCCATAGAAGCTGCCAATGTTCTTTCAATGAATTTTTACTGGTCATGCAGTGTCAACAGGTCATATTTCAGTGGTTCTGTCTGGAGGGCAAGACATCCCAGCTTTTGCTGCCTCATCTGCATGTTTGTTGCCCTTCAGCCCAATGTATCCATGCACCCCTACCACTCCAACTCATGTCTAATAACTAAGCATGTCTTTATAATAAAAGCAGGATGAGAGGGGCCACTGAGTAATTATTATGAACATTTAAGCACCAAATTAACAAATTCAAAAGCAAAGTATAAGGCATGTACATTATTCTTATATTGTATGATATATGATAATAAACAAAAATTATGTAATACTTAAATTTTAAAAAATTCAATTAAAAAAAGAATATTAAATAAAATAAAAAGTATATTTTTCTTGGGTAATTATATTATATTGCATTGTAATAGCTGTAGCTAATTTGTGCTATAATAAATATAATGTCGTTTTAATATTCTATAATATATTTTTTATAGAATTATACAACTACATGAAATTATACTTACTATATCTACTTCTAGGTCTGAGATTTGTCAATCTAACTCTATGTATGTACTGGACCCTTGCTTCATGACCTCCATCCACAAACCGTTTTGCTGATCCTTTGGCACTTTCCGTAAGATCAAGGACACCATATTCGACAACTGAATTTGGTGTTGGCGTGAATGTCGACCAGGTGATCAGTATTTCCAGGGGGGTTTCTTTGTTATAAAAAAATATTTTATATAAAAATAATTAAAATTCTAGATCTTATCACCAATTACCCCCATATGCAATATGTATTTGCTCAGGCTGATAATGAGGGTGATTGCAGTTGACAAACAGAAACAGTTGCAATAAAATGAAATAAATCATTTTCATTTTTAACTGCAACAAGACTCCACAATGAATTAATTGTTTAAATAATCTTGGCAAAGAACAAATCTAGAGTAAACTCAAGGTTCTTGAAGAATGATTTATATTTTAAGAGATAAATTATCTTGACAACTTAATTCAATCAATCAATAAAAAAACAATAAACAAATAATTTTAATACTTTATTTTTTTATCAAGTCTTACACTTGTTTTATTATTTTGAAACAAATGTAAAATTCTTTTTACTTTTTAAATTTATAAGTATTTGAGGGTAGCAAATGTATATGTTACTGAACATTTTAGTCTGCCTATTATTGCTTGATTTGGTCTGTCAGACTACAATGATTGGTTATGACAAATTACAAATTTGGTATGAGGAAATCTCACGACTTAAGCTTTAGCAATTTATTTGGGTTTAATTTTATTTGTTTGGAAATAACAATGAGCTTTGGTTTTTATGGTGATACACATAATTAAAAACCATTTTATATATTATTGGGTTGTCCGGAAAATAATGCAGGATTTTGGTATTAAACAAAAAAAAAAGAAACTAGTTACTTTAAAGCAATGTTCTTTAATCAAAATAATTTCCCATACTCTCAATACATTTCTCCCAACGTGTTGGTAACTTATTAATTCCGTCTGAGTAGAATTCAGAATTTTTAGAATTGATAAAGTCAATAAATGCATTTTCCAGTTCCGTTTGATTTTTGAATATTATGTGTTGTAAGTAGTGGTCCAGGTGTCTAAAAAAATGGTAGTCAGTAGGCGAGAGGTCCGGAGAGTAGGGTGGGTGAGGCAAAGTTTCATAGCCAAGCTCCAATAATTTTTGTGACGTTACACGTGACACATGTGGTCGAGCGTTGTCATGCAACAAAATGGGCCCTTTCCGATTGACCAAAGAGGGCTTCATTACTGCCAATTTCTGATGCATGGTATTAATTTGGTTACAGTATGATTCAGCATTGATGGTTTCGCCAGGATTTAAGAAAGAAGCTGTAGTGTATTAAACCAAATGAAGCCCACCATACCGTAACCATTACCTTTTTTTGATGAGTTGGGGGCTTTGGAAAATGTATTGGAGCTTCTCCTTTGTCGAGCCACTGTCCAGAACGTCTAGTGTTATCGTAGAGAATCCACTTTTCGTCACATGTAACAATTCTGGCCAGAAATGGGTCATTTTTGTTTCGACAAAGAAGTGATGCACAAACATCAAAGCGCTGATTTTTTTGGCGATCGTTTAATGAGTGTGGAACCCAATTTTCGAGTTTTTTCACTTTTCCAATCGCCTTGAGGTGGTCAGCGACGGTCGTTTTACTGACTTTGAGTTGCTCTGCAAGTTCTCGAACAGTTGTTTTGGGGTTTTCTTCCACCACTGATCGCAGAACATCATCATTAAGAGAGGAAGGCCTTCCACGACCTTCTTCATCTTCAAGGCTGAAATCTCCCTCCCGAAATTTTTTAAACCACCTTTGCACAGTGCACTCATTAACACAACCCTCGCCCCAGACTTGGTTAATGTTTCTAGCCGTTTGGGCTCCGCTTCGGCCGAGTTTAAACTCGTAAAAGAAAATCGTACGAAATTCTCGCTTTGACATTATAAGGATGACTGAATTATTTCCAAGTAGCGGAATGCTACAGAGGTAAACAAACAATATCATTTGGAAGAGGATTAATAAGTGTTGACATTCATACAAATGAGTAATCCTGTAAACGTAAACAGAATATTTTATATAGATTTTTTTTAATGAAAACTTAAAATCCTGCATTATTTTCCGGACAACCCGATAATTTTAAAATGAGACATTTAAAGTTCTGGTGATGAAAATCTCTTAAAAGGTGCAATTCGGAATACTTACAAGAATTCCAACACACGAAATAGATTTAAATAATAAAAATAAAATTAGGTTTCATTTATTATTGAACAAGAATAGATTTCTTTCTTAGCAAGTTGTAGAGAGTACCTACTCTTGCTGATCCTTATTTATGTTTTTCTGGTGACCTCATTGATTTGTTCACTTCAGATATTCTGCTTATCCTGAACCATTATAGATTTTGTCTTTTGGTCGTGCCCCTTTTGTCTTTGGCTTACTTGAATGCTCCTAACTATAAACTTAACAAAAGTGATTCTTTTGAGTTCAACTTTCAATTAGATTAAATTAAAGTTAAGTAATAAAATCAACAACACAATGCTCTGCCAGCCTGAATGTGGACAGAATTTTATAATAAACATGATTTTTTAATACTTTATAAATAAAATTCTTGATTAAATAGAACATTTAAATATAACTTTTAAATATGAAGTTTTCGTTTCAAAGACAAAAAATTCCCACACAAAAAATCAAGTTTGAAAAAAAATTGATAACAGTATTCAAATGTGAATGATTAGATATACCCGAGAATTGATTGCTCTATTTATCTATTGGAACGGAGATTAGAGTACAAATAAAATACAAATTGATAAACCAAATAAGCAGTTCCATTTTTCATCTTTAGAAGAAAAGTAAACTAATTAAAAAAGACATATTCTGTGTTAGGGTTTTAGTTTGAATAATAATAGCCAGGCTCTTATGCATTTGAAAATTTAATGCATTGTTGAAGCTTTACAGACCTCCTCCTCGCAAATTTATTTCTCTCTAAAGTCCGAGCTATTACACTGAAATTTCTAATTGTAAATGACCACTAATTTAAGAAAGAATCATGATGTTTATTGATTTTAATATAAACAGATTGTTTAAACTGCATGTATCCTTGATGTTTTATCTCAGCGTATTTCTTTTATCGCAATGATCTCCAAGATAATTACAAGCTATTTTAACCTATGTTTTTTTTAAAAATATTATTTGTATAGACTTTGGTAGTAGTTAGCTTTGTAAAGCAACAATAAAGCATAAAAATGCTCTTGTATTGGAAGAATCATAAGTTACTTGTTTTAGCTGACTTTTTAAAAACTAAACTGAAGTATAAGATTTGTAAAGAAAATATTAATATTTTGTGATATGGAATGCTTCTTCTTATTTTTAATAACTTAATTTAAAGAAAATTAAAAATGTGATGATGTTACATATGATGTGACCACTGAGGAAGAGTAGATGAGGTCAAATGATTTTAACATACAAATTAGTCAGTAATTTTACACCATGGCCTCTAAACTGAAGTAAATAGAGAAAAAAAAGTTTTTTTGACAAGCAGAAGAAAAACAAATTTTTAAATAACAGAGGATAGAACATCACAGCATTTCAAAAAACAATGTACACAATCATTTGTGCCAGTTTATTTATTTTTTATCAATATTTCTTAAAACTCAAATATCAACTTCTTAAAATAACTGAATTACTATGTATTCTAATCACTGGATATTTCAATTATGAGGTTATATGAACCATTGAGGTAGCTTTTGAGAAAAGCCCATTTGTAAGAATGTTGGGTTTGAATTCAGGTCTGTTGAATATGAACCTGAGCCCTTATCTTACAGTGATGGATACCATAGCCATACCTTAATCGTTGCTGCCACCGATGGATGCCCCCTTGTAAAACTCTTAAGATTTCACTACAGTGATTTTATTTAAAGAACCAGAATGATTTTCTATGTTGCCAAAGAAATAATATTTCAGCCATTTCTTCATTCCTTTGCAGATAATGTGTCGTTTAGTACTTATGTCATACCAGTAATTCCTCATTTATCTATTTAGTTTTTTCCGGCATGTTATTTCCTCCATGACTATTTTGTAAGTACCAAAATATTTTATTTTGTGGTTGAATGTTGCTCCAAAGTTTTATAGAAAACATTTCATGATTTCTTCTACTTGTTTTGCAGAATCAGCACATTTTGTGTTTAATTTTATCTATTTCTGCTTTCTCTTACATGTAAATTCAGTACACATTTTTGTAGACAGGTTTGGAAACTGTAGGGGTATTCACAATCTTTTTGTTAATCCTGTTATCGAGAAAAATGATGATGTAGACTTGTAAGAATCGGCAAGTTAACTTAGTCTTGCATTTTGTAGCAGCTCATGTTCAAGAAAGAGCATTCCTTGTTTTGGCGAATGGCAAACCCAACGTTTATAATTTGATGCAAAAGTTATCTTTTGAACTATTGTACAAATTCAGTTCTCTGATTGGGGATTTTCCAGGGTGTTCGGTTTTGAAATTCAAAAATATCTTCGATCTGATGATCAAGGAGTGCATTTACTTTCAGTCTCACCAGAAGAAGTGATGGGATTACTGCTGGGGTATTGTTTTCAGTTTTCCTAGTCTTCAACATTTTCATTTTCTTTAAAATTATGCTCTTGTATTTTCTTTATTGCTTTGTGATATACACATGTGCTGTCTGCTTAACTTCCAGTATCTCCCCAAGATTGTAATGTATCTGAGAAAGTTGAAAGGTCTGTTTTATTACTATTTGCAGATAGAAAAGATTAAATGTTGTTTAAATATGTCAGATATCATATCTCAGATAAACTTTTTTGCACTTTGTCTTACAAGTTTTCTTAAAAACAAGTTAAAATTCTTTCTTATATGAATTTTTATGCTTAATAATTTATTTTTTGCCAAAAGTTAGTATTTTAGAGTATAATTATGTTTACAGCTCGGCATAAGGTTGGAAATTATCATAATATTGTATAATACATCTTCATTTATTATTTTATATTCCAAATATTAAATTCATATTAAATCTACTGGAACATTATTGTTTTATTTGGTGTATAATTTTTATTATATTGGTGTTTTGTTTTTACAATCCAAACATCATCAATAACTTCTCCATAATCTCCCTAGAAAAAAATTATGAAATTAGAACAAGATAAACATTAGTCAATATTAATTATTTATAACATACAAAATCTACAGCTATCTGTTGTACATGTAGGTGTGAAGAATTATATACTTCAAGAACCGTAAATCCGTAATTTGAACTTCTGAATGCTGACCATGGAGGTGGCACGTCTGTGAAATTTGACATGCTTTCTTGACACCCCTGTAAAATAATAATAACTTAGTTTGTCAAATAAAGATTATTAGAATAACTTATTACCGCAGAACCAGTTATAATATGTACAGGAGCTTCTGGATTGTAATATGGTTTTTTCTTTGAACCTTTTTTTACTATGTAATCATAAACTGGGTACATCCTTTCATAAGAATGACGATGCCCAGAGAAATGAAGATCAACGCCGTATTTATAAAATAAATTTTCAAGTCCAAACCTATAAAAAATTATGTACATTTTTTTTTTTTTTTTTAAGATTTAACATACCATTTAGTAAGTGGAATTCCTTTTCTGACTCGATTGTCCTTCTCTTTACAATCATCAACTACTCTGTCAGAACAATACATCGGTTTGTGACCATATGTAATAATCCAAGGTCTTTTAGCTCTATTTTCTGGCAGATTGGCTTCCTGTAAGAAATAAAAAAAGACAATAATATTATTTAAAACAATTAATTAATGGAAACGGAATTTTAAGACCTTTAAATCATTTAACAGCCACTGATATTGATTAACAAGTGTTCTCAAACCATACTCAATGTAGTAATACGTCTCAGTGGTCAGGCTTATAAAGTGTATAGGTCCTAAGTTGAAACTATAATATAAATTATCATTTTGACCAGGCATAGAAAACCTTTCTCTGAAGTGGCTGAAATTGCTGAAATGATTTATTTTTAATAAATATCATTTAATTTTTTTTTTTTTTGAATTATTAACTAAGCTTCTTCATGATTGCCAGGGCACACCATATAAGGAACATAAGCAGCAATCGGCTGGAGCTGTCTCATGAATTGGTCACCCATTCTTCCATTATCCTGATATTTAAAAAAATGAACATGTCATACAGCAATGTAACAAACATCTCTGGTCATACGTCTCTCATATCATAAGCAAGATCGCCAACGTGGATTATAGCATCGTACTTATTGTGCTGTGTTTCTTCTTGAAGGCGTGGTAGAGACCTGGCATTGATATTTCCCATATCTCCATAAACAGCAAGGCGAGGACTCCAATTTGTCTCATTATCAACGGTCTTAAACCAAAATTCTTCTGACCAGCCATAATGGCTCCCACAATGATATACTGAAAACAAAAATGCAGAAAATTACAATGAAATTTTCAATATTAATGGTGCATTATTTATTTTTAAATTGTGTAGTCATGTGAAATTTTACTTACGGTACTTTGTTAAAGGTCTAAGGTTTGTTAATTTAACTCTATGAATATACTGGGCCCTTGCTTCTGGTCCTCCATCAACAAAACGTTTTGCCGAACCTTCTGCTCTCTCATTAAGATCATTTACGCCATATTCCACTATCGAGTTTGGTGTCGAAGTGATTGTTGACCAAGTGATCAGTATTTCCGAAACACTATCTAAAACAGACAAAACAATGTATATCATATATGTTCTGAAATATACAGTATTACCTCCAAAAGCAATATGAATCTGTTCAGGTTGATGGTAACGAATATGACCAGCACGATGTATGCAATTAACATTTAAGAACAAAAGTTGCATTAAAACAAGAAGAAAATATTTCATATTTGGCTTGAGACAGTTTCACTATAGACTATTGAAGTGGAATATTCAACAAATTGTAGATATATAGGACATATCAATAGCAAACAGAGAAAGTTTGAAACTTGATTTAATTGATAGCTTTTATCTTTGAATATTTCCTATCTTAAAACCTCCATTTCCTTTATATAACTTATTTATTTTCAATGATTCTAGAAGTTGGATGTACCAATATACTGGTATCGAAATGAAAAGTATTTATGAAAATGTAAACATATAAAATAAATAATTTAAAAAACTATGAATGAGTCAAAGAAATAACACACTTAATTGTATTTGGAATAATACAATACTGAAAGTTTCTTTTACCAAGTAATGGCAAAAAATAATTGAAGATAAAAAATTTCATGCAAATATTATGAAAACAAAAATGATTTTCAATTTTATTTATTGATTTATTTAATAATGCCGACATAAACTTAAATTATTATTCAAAATATTGTTAAAACAATAAATTATTAAGTCAGTCTTTTAAAAAATAATCATTTAGCTCAATGGTGTATTGAAAACCTCAACCAACTAATTTCTTTAAATTTTAAGGAAAATTAATTTTTTTTTAAATTATTCTTAGAATGTTAACACAGAAATTCCATTTTTTACTGAATAAAAGTTTATTTTTATTAATATTTGTTGACTTATTTAGATATTATATTAACACTCTCACTACTTTATGAAAGGCTATTTTTCAGCGACTGTGCCACAATATTTTTATTTTACATTTTTTGTCTACTTAATGATGTATAGAGATGTTAAACTTAATTATAAACACTTCAAAAAGCAGGACATTAACTGTGAACTTTGCATGGAGTGTTTGTTGGTGAGGATTTGTTTCATTTCTTGGTGACTTGCTCGGCAATTGCTGCTGTAAGAGGATAGAAGGTGTGTCTAGCAGGTTTTTTTTAGAGTGCATTATTGGCTAGGATTGGACTACGTTGGTAAATTTTTGTAAAGAGGCTCCTCTTAGAGCAATAATCAGAGGCACTTGGTGAGGGTGGCAGCGTCCCTTCTTGTGGGTTCCCCTCTTAAACCTAGAATGTGTTAGGACCAGAATGACAGTATGACATCTAACCGAACACTCTAGACTCCAGAAGAATTTTTATAGACTTAGAGCAGCAAAAACAAGCTTATGCAGATATTGCAAAGGAGGAGAAAATGTAGAACATGTGCTCTGTTGGTATGAAGGTTTTTGCAAGCTGAGATTATTACTCCTAAGAGAGGAAATGCACAGAAGCCCTAAATGAAGCTTTGCTAACTGCTAAAAAGCCTTAAACTTAATGAAGAACAAAAGACAATGATGGAAATTGCAGAATTATACCAATAATGGTCGCTGAGCACAAGATTGTAAAGAGGCTGACTACCAAAACCTAAAATAAAACTTAAATAGCAGTGGCGTATTTGGCTGAAGGTCGTGGGTTCGAATCCCGCTTGTGACCCTGACTTTTATCTCAACCAAAACCTTAATTAATTGAAAACAATTTATTTGGTCAAGTGGACCACGATTATTAAAAGTATCCACAAATAGAAATCAAATTTAATTATATTTATCTTAATTAATTTTATAATTATTACAATCAAGACCTCAAGTAAAAAGTAGAACTAATTAAAATAATACAGTCAATTATGACTCTAATATGTACACGGATTATATTTATATTTTTTAGCATGATTTAAATAAACACCTATTTTTATTTTGTATGTATGTATATGTATATTTCAGAAGTACGAGTTTACTGCAGAATATTTGTGTTCTTGGAATATATTTATTCGTTTAGGGTATATTTGTTATTTTTTTAAGTATTGTGAATATGATTAGTCTTTAATATTGTCTCTTCTTTTAGTATCTTTTTATTAATAATTATTAGTATCTATGCTATAAGAATTATGCAGGTTGAGATTCCTAGTCCTGGTAGAAGAAAAGCTATGGCTTGATGGGTATACATGGAAGCCCTTAACAAATCTTTGGGATCTGGTAAAAAGACTCAAGCTTAATGGAGGGCGCTAGACAATCAGGGAGATTGTACAATAGAACAATAATGGTCACAATACACAAAATTGTAAAAAGATTGATTGTATCAATCAAAACCTAAAATTTAAAAAATCCATATAAATAGAAACTAAATTTAATTATATTTCTCCTTTTTCAATTAAACATCTATTTGTTCTTTTGTCTGGATGTATATGTACATTTCAAGAGAATGTGTTTTTTAGTATCTTTTATTTATTTAAATATGTGTTTATTTATAAATTATTTGATAGTTTCTTAAAGATGTGAGGAGCGGTCAAGAATGAAGTATTTTTGAAAAGAAACCTTTTTAATTTTTTGATGCGTTTCAACCTTTATTTGGGTCATCTTCAGGGCCTGGATGAATTACAAAACATATATTCAAGGGGGGAAAATACAATATTGATGTAAATATAAATTTTGAACCAAGTATTTCATCCTCACATAAAGTGTGGTTCTATTGTTGTGGGTGTCATATTGGTTTTGTGTGAAATTGTTGTGAAATGTGAATTTGTATTCTGCTGTTTTTAAAGGATTGTGACAGGGTGGTATTGCATCCCATACCCTGATGATGGCCTGAATAGAAATAGAAACATTGGCAAAAAAATAAAAAAGGTGGTTTTCTAAAATACTTTATTCTTTACCGCTCCTCATGACTTTAACCAATTTTTTTTGACAGGTTTATGTGTTTATTTGAGTCTGAGTATGATGTATATTTTCTGTATGTGCTCTTTGTATGTGTCACATTTTTTTAAAATTAATATCAGAGATATTCACAATATTTGTTAGATGTCTCCTAGTTCATTTGTAAAGTGTTAGATGTGGTATTATTTTAGATTGCTACAGGCCATCAACTGGTTTTTAAATTATATAAACCACACTAAATAAAATTAATAAAAACTTCTTTCTGCTGAGAAATATGATCAAGACTTTGATTGTTACAATAGTTAGACAAGGAGGACCAAAAATAATTTGTTCGACTTTATTTTTAAAATTGGGCGGTTTTGTTCAACACAAGACCTCAGTTCTTCCCAAAGAGGTTTTAGTCTATTTATTTTCTGGTTATCGCGTTGATTTAGAACGTTGTCTACCGGAGGATGTGTTTGTTTTAATACTAATATAATTAGAAAAACATTAAAATGGCTCTCAGGAGTAGATTAAATCCAATAATTAACAATATTTTCAATGCTCATAAATACATTTTAAATGCAGACAAAGTCTCCAGCAAACCACTAGTGGTGAGTTTTATATTATTCTTTACATATTAAAAAAATACATATTCCATTACTTTATACCATGTTATAGAATTTAAGTAAACTGCCCAGAAAAAAATGTATACTTTATTGAAGGATATAATTGTTTCAGCTTTCTCGTAACATTGCTGTCATAAAACCCGAGAGAGATTACGATCCAAGCAAGACCATCGATTATGAAGTAAGCAAGGATGAAAACGAGTGGAAGTATGTCGTTCGAGCTCTGCCTTTAAAATTTATTCCAGAGGTGGTGAAGAAAGACGCCTACCCATCAGGCTGGAAGCCGCAGAGCGGTAATGAATTTTATCCGTTGTTCAGGTTATTCAATTTAACTTTTGATCTTAATCAAAATAACTTCTGTGTTAGAATCAGCAATGAAATTTCCCTACTACATCAGGAGGTCGAAGAATCACATGATACCCGTTTATCTTCACTTTTCACATAGGAACACAAGAAGATTGACACACATTCATCATATTGCAGGTGACATTTGGCTCTTAGAAAAGGAACTAAGGAATTATTTAACCTCGCTCAGAAAGTATAAGATTGGTATAAGGGTCGATGAAGTTGGGGGTAAACTTGTGATCAGAGGAGACCATGTAAACAATATCAAGAATTGGTTATCTGAGAAAGGATTTTAAATGGTTTAATTGTGGATATAATTGGTAGTTATTTTAAATAAATTTTTGTCTTAACTTTTGCATTGCCTTTTATTTTAATATAATCTGTATTGCCTGTATGATTTTACATTGTTGGTGATTATTTTATACATGTCGTAAAAATTTAGTTTTCACTTAACCTTCCAGGTGATTTTGTTTTTTAATTGTGTACATGTTAAAAGTATCAAGTTAATTTAATAATAAATTTATAATGATTAAAGAATGCGGAAAAGGTGGTTTAATATGTCACATGATATACCTTTGAGCTATATAGAGTGTGGTTCAATTCAAAATGAAGACAATGACAATTACTAGCTCTTTTTACATATTGTGTTTTACACATTTTTCCAAATTTTGTTGGGAATTTTTTTGTGGTATGTTTCATTAGCATTGAAATAATGGCAGAAAAAGGAGAAAGGTACATTCAATTACTAAAATATCTCATAAAAGAAGCAGGCATTGACATCACTATTCTGCTTTTTGGAGGAAATATCATTCTTTCATTCTATATTTTTGGCAAAACCTACACGATGTGGGTGACAATAAAAGGACATATATGTAATATATACATATTACATATTAGCTTCATTTAAAAAGCCCTACTTGAACGGTTAGGGTTGGAAATTTAAGAATATATCTATCTATCTAGGATTAAAAACTGCATTGGGTGCTGAAATAACCTATGACCAATGTCTGACCCTAGATGCCCAAAACCCGAAGTGGGTGACTTGTGTCTTGTAGCAAGAAGCCATAAGCTCAATTATGTTGTATTGTTCTGTACGTATGTACATGTAAGATGTACTGTCTGTATGTATATATATCATCAATCCCATTTAGCTTAAAATTTAAGAAGAATTTTAAACTTTTGTTTGTAAAAATGTAAGGTTGGGTATCGCAGTGGCGTCTGATTTACATGGAACCATTAGAAGAAGAATTAACACCATACATCATATGGGAGGGTACCACACCATAATTACAATGGTGTATCAAATATAAATGGGACTGATTTTCTTAAAAATGTCAAAGGGGTGTAGACCTGAAAGGGGTTGATGGGCTTGAACATTGTACCATTGGGGACTGGCTGAACCAACCGCAACTCTCCCCAGTCCCTTTAATTCAATAGAAACCATGAGATAAAAAGGGCATGTCTCCATGGAGCAACAGATTATTATCAAGTTTTTGACCAAAGGGGTGAACCCAACCGAAATTTTGGGGCAATTAAAGGCAAGGTACGAGGACAATACCCTGTCAAGAACCTGTATCTTTGCTTGGCGCAAAAAATTTTGTGAAACGTGTAAAAAGGTCAGGATTGAGATCTATGATCATGTCGACTTTATCCATGATCAATGCACAGTAAATATGCAAAATTATTGTGAATTATTGGATGCTGTATAATTGTCATTTCTAAGAAAAAGGAAGAATCAGTCAGCCAGAAGTGTCATTCGTCTGCAGAACAATGCCAGATCCCATATAGCTAATGCCATGAGACAAAAATTGGATGTAATAGGATGTGAAATGTTAGAACATCCACACTATAGTCCTGACTTTCCTCTTGTTAGAAGCCCTTGAAGGCTAGCATTTTGACATGATAACGAAGGGATGGAACCATTTGTGCTCCAATGACTGAGAACGACCCAAGAATTTTTATGATGATGCAATAAAAAAATTTCCAATCCGATGAGAAAAATATATTTTTAGGTCAGTAGAATATATAGAAAAATAATGTATTTATTTACTTTAAAAAAAAATAAAGTTAGAATTTCTTTTTTAAATGAGTCCAGTTCATGTTTGTTACACTCTTGTATAATAGAATCTTAAAACCTGACTTTCCTGGACTGGAATTTTGGGGTTCTTCCAATGCAAACACAAATTATAATTTTTTTTACAAGTATTTTTCTACAATATTTTTTTATTGAAACCACCCCAGCTTTATTTTGTTTAACAATTTCATTAGCCAAAATTTTGGGTAGTGTCTTTCAGGAAAACATAAGCCCTTTTAAACGTACCTTAGATGTAATTTTAATGTAAACAAAACTAACAATTCTATGTAAGTTTTCTATGTATATGTTCTCTGTATCTATGTAAGATGTATTTTTGGACAGTGAAAACAACATTTTAATCAATAATTTATTAAATGTTTCCACTTCATCAACTCTAATGAAACCCCATACTTGTGCCACATAGCACATGATAGAGCGCATGACAGAACCAAGCACACGAAACTTTGCAGACAGTGGGATGGCATTACTTCCAATGAGTGGGTAAAATTGTTGAATGGATAGCAAATTTTGCCATACTGTTTTTTCTCAAAATGTTTTAATGACAGCTGTGATGTTAAGATGATTCCCAAATATTTATAGGATGTTAAATGTCAATTTTTTACTTTATTCATGATGATGATCCTTGGGCTTTACTTAGATAGTAGACTTACTTGGAATCCACATACACGATTAAAACGGCAAGAACTTAACAAAAGATATGGACTACTCAGACACCTTCTTGGACCAAAATCAAAACTAAGCATACATAACAAACTAACCGCTTACAAAACACTCATCAGACCTATTTAGACCTACGGAATCGAGCTGTGGGGCTCGGCCAAATCATCCAATATCCAACGAATTCAGTCTTTTCAATCTAAAGTTCTCCGCCGTATCCTCAATGCTCCCTTCTACGTCACAAATCAAACGATCCATAAAGATCTTAAAATCCCTTTCGTGAAAGATCTTATCCATACACGCTTCTTCACTTTTCACTCTAAACTCTCCCTCCATCCTAACCCTTTAGCCCTAACTCTTTCCTCAACATCTCACCCTTACAATCCTCCACGCCGTTTAAAACGACGATGGCCTCGTGACCTTCTATCTAACCCACCAAATTAACTTTTACTCCCCCCCCCCCCAATTAAATAAAAGTTAGTTTCTCTCCTCACTGCCTTCTGGTCTGACAGGTCTGTCGGACTAGTTTATAACTAACTATTTGCTCAATGTATATTATGTACAGATAGCAATAAATAAAATAAATATATAAAAAAAAATTCATGATCCAAAACTCTTTTCTGCTTAATTTCCCATTTCGGGATCATTATTTTATATTTCAATTGATTAATTGTTAAGTTCTACAATTCAGCGTATGTAACCGACTTATTTAATATCTCTTTGTAAGATTCTTGGGTCCGCTAATAAAACAATACTATCAACAATACATCCAATCTTTCTACCAGCAATGACTCCACCTTCCGCCATACATATTGTACACAAAAAGAAGTGGTGACAACTGACACCCCTGTTCACCACCATTCTTTAAATTCTTTTGTATGAACTTTTGTTTAGTCTAAAAAGTAAAAAAGGGAATTATACATAAACACACTAAGTATAAAACATGACATCAAAATCATTGTATATTTCTTATTAAGAAAAACATCAAATAAAGTTGAAATGATAAATATTTTTTCTAGTGTTAAGTCCTCTTTGAATTTGTAAAATGATATTTCATGTTTGTTTTTAAATTTTAATTTCTTATGAGTTTTTCTTTCCAATACATGTCCTATCTTCTGTAGTTTCAAAAGCAGATAAGTTTCACAATTGTTTTCAGTTTGTGCCTTGTGTGCCGTAAAGACAAAAACAGCACAGAAATATTGATTTATTAGTCACCATGTTTATTGAAATGAATCAAGCTTGAAAATGGGAGTTGGGATGTGGTAGGGCATTAAAGTCACTCCCACTTTTACAAAGATGGAGAAAGGTTGTTGGCCGGGTTTATGGGCCATCCCCACCTTTCCTATTTTGTAATAGAAAGTCACTGCTTAAGTGCTTATAAAACAGTTTATTACACTGGTGTTGGGTGATATGATTCAACAATTTGTGTTAGTTATTTGAACAAAAATACTTACCCCACTGCAACATGAAATTTCGTAGAGATGAGTTACATAAAGTACCTTTGGATTTCATTATTTCTTACTGTTTTATTTATTGTCTTCCAAAACTTTGAGTTCGATACCTTGCCGACTGGTACACTCTTGCACGCTTTAACATTCAATGAAACGTTAAATTTATGGAAGGATGATAAACTGTTGGACTTGAAGGGCTTCAACTACATAATCAATAACAGACTAATATGTGAAAATGATAAAACACATATTGTACAGATTGTCACTTCATTTGCAGCCAATGTTGAAACAAGAAGTGCACTAAGAAGAGCGTATCCACAAGAGGAACTGGAAAAATTGGGAATTGTCCGAGTGTTTTTGCTAGGTAAGTTAAAGCAATACCAGACTGATGTGTCGCAAATGGCTCTAATAAATGAAAATGATAGATATGGCGACTTGCTGCAAGGAAATTTTTATGAATCTTATAGAAATCTTACGTATAAACACATAATGGGACTGAAATGGGCTGTGATGTACTGCACTGCGAAAAAATACATAATTAAAATGGATGATGATATTCTGGTGAACATGTACGAACTAGTTAACATAATAAAAGACAATTTTCAAACTTCGACTGATCTCATGGGTTATTTACTCAAAGGGATGAGACCTATTAGGATAAAAGCGAACAAGTGGTACGTGACTAAAGAAGAATACTCAGGGGATCAGTACCCTTCGTTTTTATCGGGTTGGTTGTATGTTACAACTCCACAGTCGGCGATGGGTTTGGTATTCATGGCCCATCAAATTCCTTATTTTTGGATCGATGACTTATTCATTACTGGGATTATAGCGAATGAGCTTGAAAACAAGTTTGTCGACATTAGTAAATACTTCACAACACATCCGGAGCTGATTGAGTGTTGTATACGACATGGTGTTAAGTGTGAATTTGTCGTTGCGCCCACAGGTGGAGACAACATGTTACAAGTCAGATTTCAAGAACATTCTAAAAAATGCTACTACACAGACTGTCAGGAACTTCCTGAGGAGAAAAGGATAGAAAAAACGTGTGTCGCTAAAAGGAAGTATGGAATGCCTTTGCAAAAGGGTATTCCGTTTTACACAAAAGTACAAATTTAAACAGATGTTTAATATAAATATGTTATATATTTTTTAAATTAAATAAATATAGCTTATATGACATTTTTGGTTGTTCAGCAATTACCTACTATGCACATTGATTTACAAAACAAAAGATACTTTTTAGTGAGATAATATCATTTTAGAGTGATTTTATTTCTTCTAGGAACTTTCATTATTTTTCATAAGGATCGTGACTATCTTTAATAATCCAAATATCATCAATCACATCTCCATTCTGAAAATTAAAAAAAAACTAATGAAAGCACATATTGATTTACAATCTAATATATGACTATTTTATTGTAAGTATATATACACTCAAAGACAAAAAACCGAACTTTTATTTATTTGTTTGTTTTACATAATAACTAGATATATAGCTTAATAGTTGTTACTACTTGTTAAATAACTTATTTACCTTTATATAGTGTATTTTACACTCTTCAGATTACAAATAAATAAAATAAGTTCAATTTCATCCTTTCCAGAGCCAACTTGCCAAGTGAGTTAATTGTTTTCTTTGATAAAACATTAAATTTGAATAAAAAATTAATTATCAATTTTTTTTAAGCAGTTATAAGTCTAGAAGAACCCATGTGGGCAGTTGCTTTGCCCAACAACGAGCATAGTGTCTGTTAACTAACCCAAGATGCCATGCTCTACCATCCATGATGGTCTGCAGTGGTTTAGGGTCACTGGAAGTGTCAAAGTGGTGGATGTACGGATGAGGTAGTGATCAACTGTGATGTATGACGGCTAATTATGATCAATTATTGCTTCTACCACAGTACAGAACCATCATTTAACAGCTCCCTTGATAGGTAGGTAACTCCAAATAATCCGTAATGTATGGGCAAGCTCTAAAACAGTCACCAGAAGCCTTCATAAGAACAACCTGGTCTTTAGCATCAGGTTCTCTACTACTAGAGGTGGCATTAAGTAGAAAGGCGACTATTGGCAAATCAGCGTAATGTTTGGACACTTGAACAATGGGGGGATCTCTTCACAGATGATTGCTGATTTGGTTTGTGGAAATCAGATGACCGGGACCATGTGTGGAGAAGACATGGAAAATGTTATGTTTCTCATGTGCCATGAATGAGTCACAGCCTTTTCAAGACAGTCAGTTGTGGTATGGGTGGAATCAACTTCCATGCCTATATTGAACTGATTATCATCTTTGACACATTGAGGCACATTGAGCTCCCATTTGGTGAGGACTTGGTGGGGATAATGTTCAACTGCATGTAGTTCGAGTTGTCACCCATTTCTTTGAGGTAGGAAGGATAGCACACTGAATTGGCCAATCCATTCTCCTGACATGAATCCTATAGAACACTTATGGGACATGATAAAGAAATGGGTTACACATTGTTCACCATCGGTAACAAGCATTGAACAGCTTCAAACAGCTCTTGTTGAAGAATGGAATTAACCATCAAAATAAAATAATTTTAATTGAAAATAATGAATTTTTGATCTGTTTAATTGGTTTACATTAAAATAAGGATGTTGTAATCAATATAACAATAAAAATATAGTTTGAAATAAACAGCAAAATACGAGTGACTCCATTTTTCCCCGTCTTTGAGTGTATATTTTATAACAGCATTTTCTGACTGAAAGTTTTGACCATCTCAGATGTTCAACTGGTTTTTTACAAAATGTTTTGCAAAAAACCTATTATTTGATTTAATAAATTTGAAATTTGCAACTACAGCTTGTTAATAAAAATATGTGCGAAAGGGAGCCCTTACCTTATCCACAGAGATTTGTTGAATGTGCAAATGCGTTCTATTGTAAATTTTCAACCTTGTGAACCCATAGTCACTCGATCTAAATGCAGACCAGTGCATTGGGTTTTTAACAAACTTGTCGGTATTTTCCTGGCAACCCTGGAAATTAACCAATAAATAAATGAAAATTAAATGAGTATAATAAATGTAGTAATTACTGCAGATCCTGTGATGATGTGGACAGGGGCTTTAGGGTTTTTGTAAGGCTCTTTGTAACTGCCATTTTTCACCTCATGATTGTACACTGGCCAAAGGCGTTCATACGAATGTTCATGTGCCCATATCTCAACATCAACAGTATAGTTATAAAACATTTCTTCCAAGCCAAACCTATTTTAATAACATATTATTTTTAAAAAATTTAAAAACTCTTGCAGACAATTTTTTTACCAGTTAAGTATTGGGAAACCGGTACGGACCATTGAACTATGTTTTGTGCAATCATCATTATCATCATCAGAGCAATACATAGGACGGTGCCCGTATGTAATAATCCAAGGACGTTTTGCACGGTTTTCTGGTTTTGTCGCATTCTAAAATTTAATTCTTAAAAAACCTAAATACTACCTAAAATCAAGGAAGGTACCTTCAAATCCTCAAGAAGCCACAAATACTGTTTGATTGGGATTTTTATACCGTAATAAATAAAATAGTAAGCCTCAGTGTTTAAACTTATGAAATGGGCAGGACCGAGATCAAAGCTGTAAAACAGATTCTCATTTGGACCAGGCATGGAAAATCTTTCTCGATAATGGCTGAAATTGCTGGAATAAATTTTTTTATGTAAGAAACTTGCCAAATTAACTGCTAATCAATATATATTATTTCCATATTTATTATTGTAAATTTATTTTGAGTAAGTATAAGATTGTGAATACGATTTAATAAATTGTTTTCAGAAGTTTGGCCTTAATTAAGTTATAAGGAAAATATAAACAGATCTCCTTTCAGAATTTGCCAACATGATTCAGGCAGACACTACAAGAACAATTAAAATATGAAAAACATAGTAGTTACATTCTCACTGGACTCAGAATAAAAAGCTATAACTGTATGTTTTGATGGATAACAAAAACAACTGGGTTCTTATAGCTTCACATTTAATGCATTTTTTATGCCTTATGGGCTTACTTTTCAGAGTATCTGGAGTCTAGAAATGACTTAGACTTTGAATCATTACAATTTTAGTCTGGCAATCCAGGATGATTAGAGACAATCAAACTACAGACTAATATGTACACTGCTGCACATCTACCGAGCTGTGTTCCTAGAACTCAGGTCAAGATTTGTCAATATTCGTCTCGTCTAAACAGACAACTCTAGAACTATGAGGGCGTGGCTTATGCCTTCAGCGGTACTGCAGTGTGTACAGTGTATGATCTGACATGTGCTTGCAATGATTCAAGATATAGAATGCTCAGCCTATCTAGTCTGTACTGATTCCGTGAGCATAATTTTGGCTATTAATGACAAATTCTCAGCAGACCCTTTTGTCATGCTCTTGAGCTCAGAAAAACGGTGGTAGTCATCTGGACACCTGAACATGTCAGGCTGGAGGGAAATATACATGCAGACAGCCTTTAAGCTGGAATTTCTCGCTTTCCTGATTGAACTACCATGAAATATGTAATAAAAGAACATTGGCAACATCAATGGGTCAAATCATCTAAAAAGCACTTGCATGTCAAGAGCACGACTGAGCGATGGCCCTTCAATAGTCTGGAACGGAAGGAAAGGTTCATACCCATTTAAGGTATAGGACATATCATTTCAGGGTGAACCCCACATCAGGAGTGCCAGACCTTGACCCTTTATAGGGAGGAGTAGGTTATTGATACCACTTGGGCATGAGAATAGGTTATTGGGCTCCCTATTCCTATTTTTAAGGGAAATGGGGTTGTTTTCTAATCTTTAGTCTGTATTTATTGTATATAATTATTGTGTAGTTTGTATGTATATATGTGTGGTGAGTAGTGACCGTTAGTCGATAATTATTCAGAAATCATGAGATGCGGTCTAGTCTAGTGTGATGTAGGTTTCAGAAAAACATTTTCCTTATCGTGCCAACGTTTCGATCTTTATTGAGATCATCTTCGAGGTCAAAGTGTTTGTTTTCTGTGTAATTGTGCCATTCTTGTGTGTCGTGTTGAGAGTGCCTACAGAAAACAAACACTTTGACCTCGAAGATGATCTCAATGAAGATCGAAACGTTGGCACGATAAGGAAAATGTTTTTCTGAAACTTACATCACACCAGACCGCATCTCACGATTTCTGTATATACATAGTTGTTTGTTTGTGTGAATAAGTGAGTGAAACACACAGCATTGAGGGCTGATATGACTCTATTGTCGGTAGCACCATAAAGGAAAAAATTAAATTACTATGATTCTTCGTGATTTCCAGGGGCGACCATGTATGGTAGATATGCTGCTATTGGCTCAATCTGCTTCATAAATTCATCTCCTACTTGCCCATCATCCTACAAATTAATTTTGGTATCAATTATTTATACAATTTCTAAAGTAAAATATATTTCAATTATCCAATTTGTTGATGACATACAAATTTCATATCATAAGCAAAATCTCCAACATGAAGTAGAGCATCGTAAACATTATTGTGTGTGTCTTTTTGCAAATATGGAAGCGATCTTGCATTCACATTGCCCATATCTCCAAAAACAGCCAAATGTGGTGACCAATTTGTCGAATTGTCAACTGTAATGAACCAAAACTCATCTGACCAGCCCAAGTTGCTTCCGCAATAATACGCTGTAAAAAATCTGATTAGGCAATCTTCTAATCAACAAAAAATTCTTGAAAAATTACAATATTTGGTTTTCGGCATCAACCCAGGCAGGGTGACACGATGGATATACTGAGTATGTTTCATCGGCCCTCCATCAACAAATTTTCTAGAGTAGCCAACTGCACGGTTAGTAAAACCGCCAATGCCATACTGCACAACAGATTCTGGAGTGGCAGTAAATGTAGACCATGTTACAACAATGTCTTCTATATTGTCTGTTGGGCAAACAATTCTTTAAAACAGATCGAATAAAAGAAATGTTTAAGATTGTTTGTACTTCCGAATGAGATGTGAACTTGTTCAGGTTCGTAGTATAAAATAGGCTGATAATTGACAACTTTGCACAATATTTCTTCGAAGAAGGAAGCCAGGTAAAGTAACTTGAAAAATCTTTTCAATCCCATAGTTGAGGCCTGAAATTGAAAAAAAAAATATATATNATACAAATGAGTAATCCTGTAAACGTAAACAGAATATTTTATATAGATTTTTTTTAATGAAAACTTAAAATCCTGCATTATTTTCCGGACAACCCAATATATATATATATATATATTCACGTTCAACTATACAAATATAACTGTTTTATTTCAATCAATTTTAAATGACTCTAACCCCTTTTTACAATAAAATAAAACAATAAAGATAATTTTAAAAAGATAACTTTTTAAGAGACTGTTTTTAAATTTGAAAGCCAAGGTAAATATTTAACATTTTTTACACGACAATTATAAATAGCTTACCCAGAAAATTTAAAGAAATTCCTTCTTCTTTTATGTTTAAAATTGCGACACATGAACTGGAAATGTGATAATGCTATGGACACATTCTGATTTTGTTTTGCACGATAAGAGATATCCATATCAGTAATGCCAGTATTCTGCGTTTTAAAATAGATCTATCAAGAAAATAGTCATTCACGAGTCATCATGACGTCAAGATTAATAAATAAATATCTTTTTTTCTTTTTATTAATATTTAACCATCTTATTCTGCTTAAAAGTAAAAAAATGTACATGATATTATTTTACCTTAAAATCAAGTTAGAATTGTAACTATTGCTACATATTCCCTGACCATCCGCTACACATTCACCATCTTGCAGTGGTGGAATAAGCCTTTTTCTTCCAGGACTTTTTATTCTTTTGTAATCTTTATGAACTGCTCAACCTTTTTGACGTGACAACGTCTTATAAATCGGTAACACTAGGAGGCATTCGCAAAAAAGTATGACTCATTGTCCCGTTACGATCGGTGTCCTGTTACGCTCGAGCCGAGAGTAACCGATTAAAGCCGAGCGTGCTTAGAGGCATGACTGTTTCGTCGCTGTATTACGCTCTGGCTATCGTGCATGATATAAGCATGATCGGCTTTATTCTGTGCTGAGTGTTCCTTGTCAGGATACGTTGTCACTGTCCGAGCGCCTTGCGCCCAGACCCACGAGTTTTTTTCCTAACTTTTTCTTTTCAATATGCATTTCAGATCCAATACTTGTACCCTCTTTCAAGACTATCAGCCAAAAACATACATAACATAAAAAACAAACTAAATTCTATAACACTATGTTACAAATATAAAAAACCATTATATACAGATTTTTTAAATGCAAAATTAAATTGTACCTCGTGAGAGCATGGGACAACTTGACACTGGTTACTACTGTGATGTAAATGTACTGGTTGTTGCTTTTGTAGGATAAGTAAACAAATATTTTCTAATAACAAAAAAGTTCAAGAATAACGTGTCAAATCTCAGAAAGAAAAATTTTCCACACCAAAAATGCAATAAAAAATTATCTCTTGACCTCTGCCTGATTCTCAATAATAAGGGTGATATTTTTGTTTTTATTTATTTATTTTTCTTTTAAATAGACATATCGTACCAGGTTCTTCTATTTTATATTAAAAAAAATAATGAAAATATTTAGCAATGTTAAAATGGGAAATTTTTGAAAAATTTCAAATTCATTGCATGAATATTTGTGTTTAGACAAAGTATGCAAATTTTGCAAAACCACTGTTAATACCGCTTCCCTATATTTTACTATCTAAACTTAAATTGTGAAAGAAAATTGAGGGAAAATGTGAAAAGACACATGGTATTGAGTGGAATGGGGTGGAGAGTTTCGACTAATGAGAAATCTATAGGCATTCTCTTGCAATCAGTTCCTTTAAAATCTGGATCCAGTAGAGTACATAGAAGCCATAAAATGAGTATGGTATGGTACGGTATGATAAAAAGGATACTAGGCACTGCAGCCTTCTGGTTTATTGTACCTTCCTAGTTCCTTAGTTCAGTGCAATAGACTCTATCCTTCTCCTTAGAAGTATCAGGTCATTGAGAGTCGCTGCTACAAGTTCATTCCCTAAGTTTTTTCGTATGTTATGTTGACTGTCCGTTGAGCTGTTGCTTTGTTTTCAAAGATGATATGAGTGGCTGTTTCCTCCTCCTCATTACATAATCTGCAAATGGGATCATCGCTGTATATACCCATGTTTTGTAGATGTTTTCTCAGATGCCAGTGACCGGTTAGCAGTCCAACCACTCCTCTGAGTGTGGCCCTCTCCAATTGCAGCAATGCTTTTGCCAGTCTTGGTGAAGGTTGTTTCATCATAAGTTTAGTATGTCTAGCACCACTAGAGTTTATCCACTTCTCCTTTTGTTTTGTTTGGATCCATTCTGCGATGGAGGATTCTATATTTGTTTTGGTTATCCCAAGTATAGTTTTGGGGCCTATGTATTGTCTTGCAGATCCTCCTCTGGCCAGACTGTATGCTTTATCATTACCCAAAATTCCCCTGTTCCCTGGCACCCAAGATATCATCAGGTTGTTGTGTTTTCCAGGGTTTGGAGATTTTGGATGCATTCACTGGCTAATGTGATTCTTTTACATGCTAATGCTTTAATAGCTGCTTGGCTATCTGATCTTATGAGGATTTTTTTGTCAGTGTAACATCTTTTAAGATTTTTCAAGGCACAAGCATTGATGGCATGTATTTCCGCTTGAAAGACCGAAGTGTACTTCCCTAATGAGTTTGATTGCTCATGTTTTGGGCTTATACAGAAAACGCCTGATCCGGTTCCTTCGTTTGTTTTGGAGCCATCTGTATACCATATCATTGCATCTGATGCTCTCCTGTGTTCTTTCTCTTCTTTATAGTCCATTGAGACTTTGTAGGAAGTGCCCTCTGACTTGTCTCGACAACAGTAGGAGGTACTTCACTCAAAGTCACATTTCTTAGGTAACAAAAATGCAAAAGCAAAATAGTCAAACATGTGTAAATAAAAAATAAATAACAAATATTTATTACAAGTATATACTTACAAAAATACTACAAATTTTCAGAGTCATATTATCCAGCCAATTGTTCATCTCACTTTTGTCTTTATTATCAACAAGTCAACAACAATTTTGATTCAAGTTTGAATGACTTTGATTAAATACTAAACACTATTACTAAATATAATATTTTTTATTTTTTAAAATTTAAGTTTTACATCTGTTTTAGTGTTTAATAGTACATATAATATTAGTAATTTACAATATTTAGTCTTTTAAATATTTAATTACAAATAAATACTTCTATATTGTGAACATAGTAGTTTTAAAATAAATTACAATATTAATAATAATTGCTATGTTGCTAACTATATGATTACCAAAATACCACTTATAGTGATAATAACAAGAGAAGTAATTAGACGTTTTGTAAATGATGGTTCAGATTTAATTAATTCTGTGAGTAGAACCATAATTTTAAAAAAGTGAATCAATATACTCACCTCACTTTTATTATTTCTATTAATTTGCTAGTTGAAGTAATTAAAAGTAAAATATTAATAACAATAATTAATAATAATAATACTAGTTGATACAAAATTTAATGGAATAAAGTAAGACAAAATTGCACTGACTAATGTATTTTTATTGTTATATTAATTACAACATACTTATTTTAATGTAAATCGAATTAAACGACATTAGAAATTCACGAATTTTAGTGAAAATTATTTAATTATGATGGCTTGAAAGAAAATTCTCTAAAACACTGGAAAATCATTTAGTGATAGATTAAAATTTAAGTAACTATTTATATATATATGGATTTTTATCCTTATATTAATTACATCATACTTATTTTAATGTAAACCAAATTAAATGAGATTAGAATTTGATGAGATTTATTGACAATTATTTAATTAGAATGGTTTGAAAGAAACTTAAAAAACACTTGAAAATCATTTAGTGATATAATAAATGGTTTGTTAAATTTTACTCTATCACTAAATGATTAATCGTTGTTTTAGTGAATTTTCTTCCAAACCATCATAATTAAATAATTTTTATTAAAACTCTTGAATTTTTGATCTCATTTGTAAAAATAGTGGTTTAAAGTTAAAACAAAATCCTTTCATAATATTTAAAATTCTCCCGAGGCAGACTGGATATGAATTCTTACGGCCTACATAATAATACATACAATGTCGACTCAACATATTTACCAATAATTTAATTACACTAATTTAGATTTGTTGTCTATTTATTTATGTAGGTTGGAATGTAAATAAATATTGAATGCATTGACGAGGGAACAAAAAGATTAGTACGTACTAATTGTTCAGGCCGTGCTCATAGGTTGTCAGGCACGGCGGGGAGTTGTCAGGTTTCCTTTTACCGTGCACGTTTCGTCTACACGATGTCGACAGTAAAGGTTAGCCCGAATATTTTTCACTTATCTTTTGTTTTTTTCAAATATTTAGTTTGTTTTAAATGTCTGTTAATCATTTTAAGCATTGTTTGTTTTTGATAGTTGATTGTTTTTATAAAAAATTGTCTTTGTAGAGATCGTCTGTGACGTTGAAAGACGTTGACCAACATAAGTTTGTCAAGGAGTTCGCCAAGTTTCTTAAAAAGTGAGTTTTTGATGTTTTTATAGAATATATATTTTTTTAAATGTTTTTGACCTGTTATGTTTTGTGCCTTTTTAGTAGGTTTTTATAAAATTGTTTGGGTAAGTTTGAAGGGCACTCGGCGTGAGAAGCATTTTTTCTTTTAGCCTAAAAGCTGACAAAAATGACCAGAAAAAAGTTCAACTTTTGACCGAAATCGCACCTAAGTACACAATTTCGCAGATAATTTTAAAACATAATTTTTTTCATGAGTTCTTCAAAGTTGGACTTGATTCTGTCATATTCTCTTTTTAAATATTATGCTATATATATTTTTTTTGACGCTTTAATTTACATTCTTTATTAATTTTGTCGATAGATCTGGCAAGTTGAAAGTTCCCGAATGGGTCGATCTTGTCAAAAATGGCAAACATAAGGAACTTGCTCCTTACGACCGTGACTGGTATTACGTGAGATGCTCGGCCCTCCTTCGCCATATTTACATCCGTTCACCAGTGGGAGTTGGCGCTGTCACGAAAATCTTCGGCGGTATGTTTAAATCATTTGTATGAAATGATATATGTTCATTCAATTGCTGATTTTTTTTTCAGGCCGTAAGCGTAATGGTGTTTGCCCTTCTCATTACTGCAGAAGTTCCGGCAGTGTGGCCAGGAAAGCTCTTCAGTCCCTTGAAGATTTGAAACTCATCGAGAGAGTTGGCGATGAAGGTAGGAAGATAACTTCCCACGGTCGTAGAGATGTCGATAGAATCGCTGCCCAAGTCAAGCGAAAGAAGAAGGAGAAGATGCTCGACCTTGGCCTCACTGCAGCAGGAAGTGGCACTGTTGTATTGCCCACTGTGGCTTCAGCTTGAATATTTTTACTTTAAATAAAAATTCCAAAAAAACTTATTTGTCTTTATTTTTTAAATAATATTTTTCCTTTTTTTTGTATTAATTACTATATTTTTATTCCCTGTAACAATAAGCATAATTAAAAAACTTTTAATGTTCTCTAAATCAATAATCAAAGTAGTTTTGTGAAGTCTTATTAAGAATTTGAAAGTTATTAACCACTTGGATCATGCACGTTTGTGAGGTTTAAAGAGCAATAAATTGGTCATCGGTGTTTGCAACAGTTTAGTCGTTGACACAGCGCTTAACACTTAAGATAAAGTTACCGGGTTCCAGTTCTGCATTCGAACCTGACATACTTACAAATGGGCTTTTGGGGACACTGGCACCCTGAGGGTTTATATGACACCTCTGCTGTTGCGAACCCTCGTTAAAAAAACTACTAAACTAAAGAAAATAAATTATATTTTTAGGAGTTAATAAATATAACAAAATTTTCCTTAGAATATTATTAAAAAAAACAAATATAAACATACAGTAATCATAATTAAAATACATCAGTTTTGCAGTAAATTTTGAAAGGTTAATTTATATTTAGAATTGTTATGCACAAAAAGCAATAATCTGAATTAAATAGAAAAGGTTAATCTGTTATCATCTGTTAATTCAAATGTTAAAAAATCAATTTTTCAATGTATGTAAAAAAAGCAGGATTTGTGTATTACGTGAAAACAGGAGGGAAAAATTATATTACTTATTTTCAAGTTCATTGAATTTGTACACAAAGTGATTGAGATCATAGTTTCAAAAAGTATGCTGCCAGAGATTGTAATCGACTGCTATCGCTGCTTCATCTTCTTGCTTAGGTGTTTTTTAAATGTTGTGAGCCGGTTCAATTTGACCTCTTTGCTTGGTGAAATCGGGCGGTCTATCCCGCCATTGTGGTTCGTGTAGTTGTAACTCATGCCGTTGTGCGATGATAGGTTTTTGCCAGACTCTTTGACGGTGAGCGTAACGTTGTCTTCGCTACCACTGTTCCCAGTCTGAGATTCGCTTTCGCTGTTAAATTCGCCTAAAATTTTGAATTTGTTTTGATCAAATGACAGTTTTGGTTTTTCTAATTATTATTAATCGCGGCAGTTCAATATAGTGTATTGTTACATTAAAGTTTGATGTAATATCATGTATTAAAAAATGCATGGTATTAATATAAAATCAATTTGTTGTTAGTTTTCTTGAAATTTAATGTATGACCAACATTATATTAATCAAAAAAATAATTTTCTTTCCCGAATGAATCTGCATTACAAATAACGGAATACTGATAGAGTACTAATAAACTTTCAAGCAGTCTAAGGATTTTTTTTCAGCTTTTATTTGTTGCAATTAAACAGCAATTTTCTAAAACTTATAACTTAGCTTCTGATATTAAATTCTTCTGTAGACGGATTTTTATGATTGTAGATAACATTGAAATATTAAACATTAAATTATTACATATCAAATTATCAACTACAAAAAGCTTTTTTTTTCCTGGTTTTTTAATCTTTGTTTTAATAGAGAGTAGAACTTACTAGTTTTTCTTCTACATTTGTCATAGTAAGCAAATAGATTTTTAAAAATATTTTCTAGAGCTTTTCTTTCATATATAGCGTTTTAGAACTGAATTATCCATTAAATTGCATGTTCTACACATATCATAGACAAACAACAAAAATTACTAAAATATAGTATGTAAATGCAAAAATAATTATAACTCTAATGGATTTATATCTAATGAGGAAAATAAAATTTTATATTTACCCCAGAATAATAATAATTTTGTTTAGGCATAAAGAAATTAAATTCTTCCTTCAAGTTCTGTTTGTTTCTTAAAAATCATTCTAGAACTTGTAATTGTTCTTTTTCTTTGTAAGTATTTGTGGACAATGTAACTTTTCAAATTTAAAAATAAGCAGTAGTATGTGTAGATGTGAATAAATGTGCTTCATTGAATTTTATTCTAATAAATAATAATAATAAAAGTAATTTCTACCTCATCTGAAATTACTGCAATTTTCTCTGTTAATTATATTATTAATGTTAAATTTTAAGTCAGTGCAAATTTGTCATGTAATAATGTTTAATAATTTTTTGTTCATTGTTGTTGAGTTGGGCAAGGAAGAAAAACGATCAGTTAACATTACAGCTTAAGAGCTCAGTATTGAGTATCAAGCATGTGCATAATTTTTTTTTATTTAATGATAATTTTTTTCTAATAATTAATAATATCGATTCAACAAAATTATAATATTGTAATGCATTTATAATTATTTATTATCAATAATAATGTAACTTTCACATTGTTTGTTACATTATTTTTTTTTTAAACACTTCTGCATGAACATTGTAAAAATTTCGACTAGTGGCTTATTAAATTTTATTTTATGTTAAGTTAGAAATAGGAAAATTTTTGTTTTTCAGAATTAAATCTTTGTTTCTTGTAAAAATTGAGCCTTACTGTTGGTTTATATTGTTATGCTCATGCTATCCATACAAAATTTTTTAAGGATGAATTTTAGATGAAAGTATTAAAAGTCTTTTTTAGTTGAGATGAAAAAAAGTTAATGGCACAAGCAGGATTCGAACCCATGATCTTCGGCTAGATAGATAGATGAGGTTGAGATAGGAAGTTGATGTCCGAGTGGATCGAGGTCACGATAGCTCAAGTGGTAGAGCAGCGGCGTATCTAGCTTAAGATCGTGGGTTTGAATCCCGCTCGTGCCATTAACTTTTTTTCATCTCAACTAAAAACCTTAATTATTTGTAATGATTTAATTGGTCAAGCGGACCACAAAATTAGTGAATTTAAAGTATAAAAAGTCTTTATTACATGGTGATTAAGAAAATTTTAACTGTTTTATATTGTTATGCTCATGCTATCCATACAAAATTCTTTTAGGATGAATTTTAGATAAAAGTATAAAAAGTCTTTATTACATGGTGATCAAGAAAATGTTAACTGTTTTTCTAAGAACAATACTTATTGCAAAAATAGCAATTTTCTATATTTAATAGTTTTCCCTTATACAGTAGATATTAAAAAATTTCTTGTTAGCAAAATAACTTATAATTTGAAAAAAATTCTTTGGAGAATTTTTATATTTTTCTCTTATCATACTGATCACTTTGCTACTTTTCAATATAACTAACTGTGAAAATGCATGCTAACATGATAAAACATCATCTACACAAAACAATGACTAAAGTTTAACTTTATTCCGTAATTTTACTTTTTTGTATCCTTTGCTTTAAACAACCAATAGAATAAATTGTTGTGCTTATATTCTTCTCTCATTGTAAGTAAACGAAAAAACAAAAAAATAACACTGAATACATCTGATCTGAATGCATGCTTTGGAATGGTTTAAGGTATACAAATAAGCCAACTCAGTGATACAGTAAAAACTGCAGGAGGTGAATTCTACGAAGCAAAATCAAAATAGTAAAAAAATGTGGAAAATAAAAATATAAAAATAAAATATGCTTATAAAATAAATATTTATTACAAAATATAAGAACACATTTACAAAAATACTACAAATATCCAAAGAGCCATCTATTTATTGTTCATCTCACCTTTGTCTTGATTATCAACAAGTCCACTTACAGCCTGAAACATAAAAAATATTAATTTAATAAATTTCTAAACTTAGAATGATTCAAACTTTATATTATAAATAGAATAACTTTATATTATATGGTCTCTGCATGTTTTGAAGTTAGACTATCAATGGCAGAATATTGAGTACCCTGTCGACCCTTAATTAGGTTAGTTGTTATGTGTAAACGGTCGATGGAGGAATATCGAGTACTCACATCACCCTAATTGAATGAATGGTATGTAAATAGGAGTGAATGTATTTATGAATAAATGCGAGTACAAATAGAAATGATGAATGGTGGAGTGAGTGGTGTCCAATCCTTTTGAAAAAGATAGTTCCTACTCACAGTACTGGTGCTGAATTGACCTAGCTGTTGATAGCACCAGAAGCCCAACCGCGGTGGCAGGACGAATAAGACTGAGCTATGCCCCCAGACTGCCAACACCAGGGAGGGTATTCTGGAATTGCCCGGGGACTACAAGAAGCCAACAGACTCAACTGGGCACCTGTTTGTATGTATGTACATGTGTGGATTTCGTTTTATATAAATCCAAATCCAAAAACCAAGACTACCACTACTGATCATTTTTGGTCAACTTATCCTTGTTGGTTTGATGTCAGACATGTTTCATTTTGCCATATTCAGTGTTGTGTCACTGAAGATAGGCAGGCCAAAAATGATCAGTAACGACAAAATGATAGCTTCACCACCCTATAAACAACATGGAAAAGATTCATAGTTTAATGATTAGATAATTAGTAAAATATTTAAGTTTAGATACCTACGATGAAATCGAATGAGTTGTCAAAAAAACAATAATCTACATAGAGGTCACTGACATTATTCCAATTGTTATGCATTTGTAGCCAACAAATAAGTGTTTTAATGTACATTAAAAAATGCTTACAGCCATTGAGGTAATTGAGGATTTTGAAAAGAGCCTTTCGGCTTCTTTGAACTTGAGATTTTTCTTATCCGACTTGCTGTTCTGTATCTTGTTGCTAGCCAGGTATCTGTCCCAGCCCCTGATTATATTCCCATAGAGCTGAGTGTCTTCGAGGTAGCTACCTTCGAATGCATAGATCTGCCTTTCCAAGTTGGCGAGGGTTTCCTGTTAAAAAGGAAAAAAACAATTTACTGTAGGGAATAAGCGGGCAGATTTGCCTAAGGTCTTTTGCCCGACTTACGGCTATTTCGGCCTTTCTTTTAACAAGCTCGGCTAGCTCCTGCCTAGTGTCAATGGTCGGCCCCTGTCCAGACATGGTGCAGATTAAAAGTCAAAAACGTTTTTTCATGCTCAACGTCTTTCTGCTTGAAGTCTAACAATAAAATTGTTTTTGTCGTAACAGTCAGTTGTCAGGTTACACTAGCTTTCGGTGTAGACTGTAGAGGTCGTTCTACTGTTCAAGCGAGTAGCGTAGTACGTATTGCCTGCCAATTACTCTAACTCGCAATAGCCTAGTAGGTAACAATTACAAACTTTAAATTATTAAATATAAATATTAAACAAGCCAACTATTTTAATATTACGTTTGCTTAACATTCTTAACATAATCTTACTTAGCTTAATTTTTTGTTTCGCCAACATTGCAATTTATATAACTTCTACAAAATTTACATACTTCCTACTATTATTAATTTTTAATAATTAAATAAATTTATAACAAATAATATACATAATTATTCCAATTAATTATTCTTTTTATCTAAGGTTTTTGATTGAGAGGAAAAATTAGTGTCACGTGCGGGATTCGAACCCACGACCTTTGGCTTATACGCCGCTGCTCTAACCACTAGAGCTATCATGACTTCCATACCCCCGTACACTATCCCCTCATCTCAACGTACAACCGTTCAAATTTTTGTTCTTTTTACCACATTTTCAAATACTTTTTTAAATTTTGGGTTCGAAAACCGCTCTAAGCAAATATGGAATAATACATAATGATATTGGGGATAATTTTTACATTTATTTGTATAAAGTTAACTATTACTTCATTGTATATGTAAATAACTTATTCAGCCACTACAAAACAGTCTTTAGATCTGGTTGTTTGACAGCATTACTGAAGAGAAACAAAAGACATCCGTCCTAACATTTTCAAATTGTATTTATTGTCATTATAGTCTCTTGATAAGCAAGCTTTCCCAAAAATTTAATGTCAGCTGTACCTATTGTTAATTTTGTTATTTCATGTTTGAGTCGTCTCTCACAAATTGTCAATTTCAACTTCAAAAGATGTGACGTTAGTTTCATTAATTCTGGAGTTTTACAGGTGTCCACCTTAGGCCCTCTTCTATTTTCAATGAATGAGAAACAGCTCTTAATTGCACAATGTTCCGAGTGTATGTAATTTATTATTGTAAAAGTAGAGACTTCAAAAAATATCCAATACTTGAGGTAGTTTAATTTTTTTAAAAATATTATAGAAAGCAATATATTGAGTGGAGTACTATCGCTGTGGGTCTAGCGTATATAGCTCGCAGAAGCATGATTCACATGTAGTTCAATAGTAGGTACGTTTCTCCATTAGAACTATAATAAATAGAAACAGACAAAGGTAGACTTTATGAGGAATTTTTTTTACAATTCGCTTAATACTGTACTTGCTAAGTATTATGTACGTTTGCATAAGTGCTAAAGTGATTAAATAAAAATATTACGCATAAACGAAATTTCGAGTGAATCTAACCCATACTATTTAATATTCCTGAAAGTAATTGATGGGAAGTTAGTGTCCGAGTGGATCGAGGTCACAATAGCTCGAGTGGTAGAGCAGCGGCGTATCTAGCCGAAGATCGTGGGTTCGAATCCCGCTCGTGTCATTGACTTTTTTATCTCAACTAAAAACCTTAATTAATTGTAATATATTAATTGGTCAAGCGGACCACGAAATTAGTGAATTTAATGATTTAAAATGAAGTATACTTCACTAAAGCTCTCCGTGGCCATTTCATTTGTCGTCGAGAATCCAATCCGATTACACGACATTTGAAAAATGGCAAAAAGGAGGGAAAATTCAAAAGGTGGGGTTGAGATGGGAAGTTAGTGGATCGAGGTCACGATAGCTCAAGTGGTAGAGCAGCGGCATATCTAGCCGAAGATCGTGGGTTCAAATCCCGCTCGTGCCATTGACTTTTTTATCTCAACTAAAAACCGTAATTAATTGTACTATGGGTTAGACTGAATGAAGTCTGGTGTGGAATGTCATTTATTAGAGTGAATAATAGGGCTCCTTTTTCAATTACCTCGAGGAATATCGAGTAATCCTGGGCAAAATAAATGAAGTCTGTTGTGGAATGTAACTCATTAGCGTGAATAATAGGGCTCCTTTTCTATTGCCTCAAGGAATATCGAGTAATCTGTAGAATGAAAGATGTCTGGGTCGTATGTAATTTATTAGCGTAAATTATGGGACTCCTTTTTCAATTACCTCAAGGAATGTCGAATACTCTGGGGCAGTGTTAATGAAGTCTGGTGGTAAATGTAATATATTAGCGCGAATGGTGAAGCTCCTTTACCCTGAGGAATATCGGGTAATCTGGGGCAGTAGGAATACTAACCTGCTTTTAAGTGCATACCTTGTGCACAGTTTGTGCGCTTATCATATCATTTATAATAACCGCAAAGCCTGATGGACGTGAACATAACTTGGCTGCAGAATCAGAAAAATGAATTTGGAGGAATCAAACTCTCGAAGAAAACGAAGAGATCAGCAAAAAAAGAAGAGGGATGACCTGCGCTAAAACTACACACAACATATATTAAAATATGTATTAGTTAATGTGATTTAAAAATTGTTTTTATATGATTTAATAAAATTAATTTATTTTTTAAAGAAAACTACACAACTTTAGTCTATTAGTACGTCATTGCTTGCTCTTGCTTATTGCGTATTGCAGAACGTATTCAAGTAACCTGACAACGTTGTAGACCGTTCGATTTGAAACAAACAAACACAAGATTTAAAATTTATTAAATAATTTTTTAGTTTATGATTTAATTTACTCTTTGATTGTTCGTTTTATTTATTTTCATCTGGTGGTCAGTTTATCTTTGACCATGAATACTCAAGTTCCAGAAGAAATGACTCCTTCCAGAGTTTCTGTGGTAATTTCAATTTTAATTTCTTTGGATTGGAAACATTTTAAAAATAAGTATCTATGTATTGAATATAGAACTGGAATAACGTTGTTTTGTTTTAATTTTACAATGGCTCAATGACGTAAATGTCATTACTTGCATGTTTTTAATTACTTTTGTAGCTTGATAACAAATTTTAAACACAAAAAGCAGATTTTTGTTTGTTTTTCTCTTCTAAGAAGACTGACAAGTTTTCAGTAAGATTCACCCCTAATTGTATTTTTCAGTGGGATGCTAATGAGCTGGACAAAGGGATTTACGATGTATTGAAAGCACAAGTTCAAACTGTCATAAGCTATTTACCTGTAAGATTGCTTTTGTCCTCTGAAATGATTGATTATAAAAAAACTCATTTTCGAACCTTTTCAGGCAGGATTAATAACAAGATTTGAGCCTGAAATAAATGCTATTATAAAAAGCGCCTTGTGGATGGTATGATTGAAGAAATCAATAAAGAAAATTCATTTTATTTGACAGTTTCTTTTTTGACAGCTCTCTGTGGAAAAGACATTTGCTACTTTTGGTCAGCGTATGCTACATTTGAAATATGATAAACATACTCCTATTGGAAGGCTCCGCCTTTTGGGAATACTGAAAATTGGCTCTGCTTATATTAAAGACAGATTGTCTTCAATTTTGAACTGGCTAAACTGTTCTGATGTCGGTTCAACTGTAAGGGTTTACATTAAATTTTATTGTAAATATTGCATTAGTTTTTTTATATTTACATTTAAGTGTTGTCTAATCATCAAGAGGATAGAGATGGCTCTTAACATTCTCAACATTATATCGTTCGTTTTTTTCTTAAGAGGAGGAGGACCTATGACATTTTTAGAGAGGCTCTTAAGATTAAATCCAGTGTCGACTTTGAGGCCTTCAGACAGAAGTGTCGGTTATTCATTTATGATTAGAGAGCTTCTTTGGCACGGCTTGATTGTAAGATGAAACATACCTTGTGAATTTTTATAAAAGACATGGCCTTTTATTTTTATGTTGCTTATTTTATTGTAAAACTAATTATGGGTTACAAACGTAATTTTTCTCGCAGAATCGGCTGATGCTGTTAGAATTTTAATAAGTTTGTATGTTAAGCTCAAGTTAAAAAAAATGTAATGCCCTGTTTTTTCACATATTTTCAATGTACTTGCCATTGCAGAAAAACAATACCAAAAACTAATGCAACTGGTTAAACAAAGGAGAAAATTGCAATTTTAATCTATTAAAACATGAAGATTTAAATCAACACAAATTAAATGTTTATATTTTATTCAATTAAATTTACAATTTTTTCCTTTTTTAACCACTTACAGGATAAATTTAAATTATTTAGTTCTGGAAGAAAACTCCCATAACTGCACAAGAATTGATAAATTTTCAAGTTTTTGGTTTAATTTTTAAAAAATAATTTTAAATATAAATTTTAATTAATTTATAAATTAGTACAATTATTTTCACACATTTTGAAAGGCCTTTCCATTATAAAAAATATATCAGAAACTTAAAAATTTATTGATTTGTTGTGGAGATCAGAAGTTTTCCTTCAGAACTCAATAATTTCAATTTAATCAGAAACTGGTTAAAAAAAGAGAACATTGTAAATCTAATTGAATAAAGTATAAAAATGGAAATCAATACAAATTAAATTTTTATATTTTATTCAATTAAATTTTCAATTGTCTCCTGTTTAACCACATGGTTTAACTGGTTTCTGGTATCATTTTTTAGAGTGGAAAGGACTTAAAAAATCCTTGTAAAAAGGGCATTAATTAAAAAAAAAGTTGATCACCAGGTCTACTTAATGTGCAAAGTTATTGAAATTCTAATAGCACCAGCAGATTCTATATAAAACATTAGCCTTGGAATCATATTTAGCTTTACAATAAAGTAGTTTAAAAATAAAAGGCCTTGTCTTTTATAAAAACTCACAAGGAATATTGATTGATATTAGAGAGTTTAATGATTTTAAAATGAGTTTATTTTTTAGGAATTGCTTATGCTTGTGTTGCCATTTTTGAACTATCATTCCATGAAGCGAATTATTAGAAAAATAATGGGAGGGGCAAAGCCTAAAAAGCTTCAGAGTCATCAATACATCTTGACAAAAGACACAAGATGTCCTGTTTGCGAACTATTCCCCATCCTTCCTTATGTTATAGGTTGTCCTCATATTTTCTGTTATTATTGCCTTGGTGTAAGTTTATTCATATATATGTAATTTTTTAAATGTAATGTATATTTCATTTGTTGAGGGTTTAGGCACATAGGCTGGCAGATCCAGACTTTGAATGCCCGACTTGTGGGTTTGTAGCACCACCTTCGACATTGATGACTGAAGTTAAACCAGCAGCATATGATGTTATGTAAATAATGTAAATAATATTATATTGTTTCTTACTAGATTGATAATGTAGCATCAATCATAATCATAATCAACCATTGACCTATGTAGTAAATAACATTGTCCAAATTTGTTTTTTATCTTGGGACACAAAATATACATTTAAAAGCATCTTAAACGATGAAATGAAATGGATATTGCATAAGTAATAAAAATTTGTGAAAAATAAAATGATTTGAACCTGGGACCTTTACAGAGATGAGCCCATGTGTCTTAACCATTGCAGGCAACAATGTCCCTCAAATAGGTTTTTGTTATAATCAATTTAATATGTGGTGATATTGTGATAAATATGAAATATATGGAATTGTTTATAATGACTTTTCATTAATTTAAATCTGTATGTTTACACAGCAACATAAGTTTAAATAATAAATAGCTTATACATTAAGAATTTTGGATCCAAACTCGTGTGAGCTACAATTTGAAATATAATTATGCATAATTGATATTTTTTTAGGAAATCAAATATAATTTAGTTTTTAGCGTAACTATATTAATCTATAAATTCAATCATAAATGAATCTAATGTTTTGTTTCAGCAAAATTGATAACCGAAGCATAAGTTATAACAATTTTCTAGTGACTAATAGATAATATCACATTTCTGAAAAATATCTTACTTGAATCAGATGGATTTGTTACTTTTTCCAATTAGACAACTGTTATGTCTCGTACAGACTGACTAAGGCAAACTTGGATATATATTGACAAACAAAAGATTAGACATTATTGGCTTTAGGCCGATGCTGAGCGCTCACATAAAACAAGACACACATTGCTCAAAACATGCAGCGACTCGACTTAGTACAATGATCATCTAGTAAAGAGGAACACAACACCGCCCTCCCCATAGTTTTATGTATATATATAAGAT